AGCAGTGTCCTCCTTAAAATCTGTTAGCAATTGTTTTTAAATATTTAGCTGTTCCCTCATTAAGGTGCGTATACATTTAAGAGTGTGATTTCTTCTTGTTGTACGTATCCCTTGTTGAAGAGAAAATAGCCTTCACTGTCCCTTCTTAATCTTGAATTTTAACCTGAAAATAATGTTGTCGGATACTAGTATGGCCACCCCAGCTTTTTTGAGGGAGCTGTTTGCTTGCAGCATTGTTTTCCATCCTTTAACTTTGAGTCTGTGTTTGCTCTGACTGTTGAGATGGGTTCCTTGTAGGCAGCATAATGTTGGGTTCTGTCTTTGAATCCATTCTGCCACTCAGTATCTCTTAATTGGTGAATTTAGACCTCTGACGTTGAGAGAGATTATTGTTATGGGGTTTTGTGTCATCTTTTTGTTGGGGTCTGTAGTGCTTGTAGGGTTTGTCTTGTCTTATAGTCGCCCCTTTAGCCCTTCTTTTAGGTTTGGTTTTGAGTCTATGAAGTTCCTGAGCTGCTGTTTATCTAGAAAATAGTGTACTGTTCCTTCGAGTTTGAGTGAGTTTAGCCAGATAGAGTATTCTTGGTGAAGCATTCATTTCAGTGAGTTTTTTCACTATATCTCACCATTGCCTTAGGGCTTGGAGGGTTTCCTCTGATAGGTCTGCTGTGAATCTAAGGGGTGCTCCTTTGTATGTGATTTCCTTCTTTGACCTTGCTGCTTGCAGTATTGTGTCTCTATTGGCACCATCGATCATTATATGATATGTCTTGGAGTCTTTTTGTTAGGGTCTCTTTTAGCTGGCATCCTTTGGGCTCCTTGAATCTGAATGGCTGCGTTGTCGAGCTCTGGGAATTTTTCAGCAATGATTTAACAGTGGCTTTTTCATTGGGATTGTTTCCCTGAGCTTCTGGTACTCCAATGATTCTAATGTTGTTCCTCTTGGAATCATTTCATAGAACTCTGATTTGCTCTCAGCTATTTTGAGGTCTCTTGCCATTGTTTGTTGATGCCTGTTAGCTTGGTGCAGCTGATCTTCCAGCTCACTGATTCTGTCTTCAGCTGTGGTCATTCTACTATTGAGGGCACAGCCTGAGTTTTTATTTCATCTACGGGCTGGAGCGATAGCACAGTGGGTAGAGCGTTCGCCTTACAAGCGGCCAACATGCCGACCCGAGTTCGATTCCTCCGCCCCTCTCGAGAGCCCGGCAAGCTGCCGAGAGTATTCGATATGCCAGACACAGTAACAACAAAGTCTCCAATGGAGACGTTACTGGGCCCGCTCGAGCAAATCGACGATCAACGGGAGGGCCTTTACCTTTACCTTTACGGTATCTTTAATTCGTGACATTTCTGTGCACAGCTTTCCAATTTCTGCTCTCATTTCTTCCTGGATTTTCTTGATTGTTCGATCCACTGTATCTTTTATGTCCTCCTTCAATTTACTGGATATCTGTCTGACTGTTTCATTGAGTTCATTGAACATCTTCATGACTTCATATCTGAATTCTTTGTTAGAGAGATCTCTTAGGTGAGTAGTACCTACTGAGGCTTCTGGACTCTTTTAATCGTCCTCCCCACGTGGTGAGGATTTGCGTTGTTTCTTCATGTTGGTGTGTGGGTATGGGAACTGTGATGTTACACTAGATTTCTTGGTATGAATAAACTACCTGCTGCCGCGTGAGGGTTGGCCCGCCTAAAATTAGGTCACGCCCACGTCTGCCAAAGCCACGCCCACTTCTGAAGAGGCCACACCCCCACGGGAACCTGGTGTGTGTTGGGGGGTAAAGACTGGGTGGGGAAGAAGATGGGCACAGCGTTGGGGATGAAGAGGAAGAGTCAGAGTCTCAGGGCTGCTTTTGTCCCAGGGTCCTAGAGGATGCCTGGAGCGGTTGCACGGAGAAAGCCAAGTCCCGGGTTTGAATACTGACGGATAAACTGACCTGGGTGGGAAAGAAGACCGAAACAGTGTTGGGGACGAAGAGGCAGAGGCAGAGGCAGAGGTTCAGAGCTGCTTTTGTCCCAGGGTCGACCTTGGGTTCTTGAGTACTGTTTGGGGAATTTCGCCCCCCTCCCCCCAACAAAAGAAAAAGACACACAGCACAAAATAGGTTTTTTTTTTCAGTACTCAGCAGAATGGTGTTTTCAGAGGTTTCATGTTGGGAGGTTATTGGACACTGCAAACAAAAGCCGTCTTGAAATTGGACATTCTCTGGCAGTTCTTACAAATACCTTTCTTGCAACACTAATTCAAATTACGGGGGGGAAAACTCCCCAAACCCCAAGTTCAAGTTTTTAACACTTGGATCTTCCTCTTTCTGCCCTTGGAAGAGTTGAGGAGGTTCTGTGGCCTCATAAGTCCTCAGGATCAGGTGAGCTGGCTGCAGCTTATAGGCATGAGGGATCAGAACATTGGCCCAGGAAGAGCCCACCACTAACCAGCATGCCTGGTGCTTTCCATCTGCTGGCCACAGGCCATACTGTAGTGGGGTCAGATGACCTCCCAGGAACAAGTTAACAAGGTGGGGGGGGTGTGCTGGTGCATTATTAGAGAAGGTAAATGGTTCTTCTCTTATCTTAGGGATAACTGTTTCTCAAGTCCTGCAGATGGTGGTTACTATTATACCAGGCATTAGTGACCTGACCAACACTGCATGACTGCCTTTACACATGACTTTATGCCTGCTCCTTTTACTCCTGACCCACTTGGTATTTGGCCTTTGCTGTTGCATTCCCACTTCATGCGCTTTAGTGGGCGTGCTTAGAACAATTTGACTATTGGATACACACACACACACACACACAGAACTTTAGTCTGTCGGCTAAAGTTAGTATAAGAAATACTTAAAAAAATAGGATTGATTTAATTTTTAGTGACTGAAGGTTTAGTGTGATTAATAATCGGTTTTGAACGGCAATAAAATGGTGTAATTCAAGTGAATATTAATATCATGTAATATTTACCATTTCACTATATCTCTGCACTTTAGAAAATAGGTAATTATATTCTATTGCTAACAGTTTTTAATATAATTCATTGGAATAATTAGCATTCCTCATTAAGAAGCACAATTCAATAGATTAGTGAATGCTAGCATTTGAAAGCTGATTTCTGTGGTTAATGAAAAATAGAACTAAAGGAGAGCCAGAGCGATGGCGCAGCAGGTAGGGCTTGCACACAGCCAGCCTTGGTTTGATCCCTAGCACCACATATGCTCCCCTGAGCCCCCACCAGGAGTGATCCCTGAGCACCACTGGGTGTGACTCAAAAGCAAAACAAAAAAATCAGTAACCATCTTTGTTTAGACCTAGGTGATTTTATTAGTTTAAAAATACATGCGATGGGGGGCAGGAGGGATACTGGGACCCGTGGTGGTGGAAAATGGGCACTGGTGAAGGGATGGGTACTTGATCATTGTGCAACTGAGACCCAAGCACAAAAATTTATGTCTACCACTGTACCTCATGGTGTTTAATAAAAAATAATAATAAAAATATAATAATAAAATAAAATAATAAAAAAATATATGCATTTTGCTCAGAGACATTGCTCAATAGGCTGAAGCATCATTTGAGAGGGCCAGGTTTGATTCCCCAACACCACATATTGTCTCCTGAGCACTGAGACAAAAATAACCTCTAAGCACCACTGAGTGAGACCCCAAAATAAACCGTGACAACAAAAAAAATTGCAAATTTTAAGTGTTAAATTTTTCCACACTGTGGTAACTTTTTAAGGGAAATTAATATTAAAATTTATACTAACATGGGGTTTAGGGAAATCTTGTTCTTTTAAGCTTTAAATTGCTGTGAGGAATAGACTTTTATTTTTTTATTTTTTAAAGTTCTAAGTTTTTTTTTTTAATGAATCACTGTGAGATAGACCCTTACAAAGCTGTTTGTGATTAGGTTTCAGTCATACAATGTTCCAACACCCATCCGTCCACCAGTGTACATTTCCTAGCACCAGTGTCTCCAGGTTCCCTCCCATCACACCCCACCCTTTATGGCAGACACTTCTCTCTCTCTCTCTCTCTCTCTCTATCTCCCCCCCCTCTCCCTCCCTCTCCCTCTCCCTCTCCCTCTCCCTCTCCCTCTCCCTCTCCCTCTCCCTCTCCCTCTTCCTCTCCCTCTCCCTCTCCCTTCCTCCCTCCCTCCGTCCCTTCCTCCCTCCCTCCCTCTCCCCTTTTGGGCATTGTGGTTTGCAGTACAGATACTGAAAGGTTATCAGGTATATTCCTTACCTACTTTTAACCCTCAGCACTTGTCCAGCATGATATTTCCCGGCTATTATTGTCATACTGGTCCCTTCTCTATACCCTCTGCTCCACACACACTTGTGGTTGATTCCAATCATTGACCAGTCCTCCTAGCCCCTGTTTTACCTGAGAAGGTATTACTCTTACATATATAGATAGATAGATATGTATATTTTTTATACCACAAATGAGTGCAATCAAGGAATAGACTTTAAACAGTCACATAAATACATGTATAGACTGAAAAGTGTAGTGAGGAGTGGCTTATTTTATAGTACAAAGTAAATTAATTGCATGTGAATTGTAAATTGATTGCAAATTATGATTTCTAGTTCTGAAAAATGTGAATAGTGATTAGTAGTTTATTTCACTTATGACTTGAAATTTGAATCAAAAGTTTTTATTATATAAAAGTTTGAAAGATGCACATACAGAAGATAGATGCATTGCTCTACTGTCAGCAATTATCAACATGCTGTGATTCATCCTTTTTTTTTTTTTGGTAAAACTGTATATTAAGATGTGTAATAATTTTATATATTGCACAGGGAAATTTATTGGATAATCATGGTTTCTTTAATCTTCTAAATTATTAATTCCTCTAGATTTTCACAAGAAATATTTATTTTTATATGTATTCATACTTAAAATATCATTGACATGAGAAGAATATTTTTGAATTCAGAATTATGGAATATCCTAAATTTATGCTAACAATATTTTTGTGTTTTTGCTTTTCAGGTTGCAAGAATTGACTGTTTGTTCAGAAGACAATGTTGATGTTCATGATATAGAATTATTACAGTATATCAATGTAGATTGTGCAAAATTAAAACGACTTCTGAAGGGTAAGTTTAATTGCATATCGTATCACTGTACCACTGTCATCCCGTTGGTTGTCAAATCTCTGTTCCTCCCGGCCCAGAGATTTTAGCAGCCTCTTCTTACTCGTCTTTTCCCAACAATTGGAGGCTCTTTTAGGATCAGGGGAATGAGATCTATTGTCATTACTGTATTTGGCATATCGAATATGCCATGGGGAGCTTGCCAGGTTCTGCCTGTGTGGACGGGATACTCTCCGTAGCTTGCTGGACTCTCTGAGAAACATAAATGGATAGGAAGTTTCTTATAAAAACGCAAAGCAGCCATACGGTTGGAAAGCAACCTGGAGCGTGGCAGTGGTTGGGCAGTGGAGGTCGGCTGCCGGGGTTGGGTCCCTTGGGGTGGGGAGGGTTCTCACCCGCCCCACAGCCTGGCACAGAGTTTGGTATCTGAAATTAATCATTGGGTTGAAAAATTTATATTTTGGATATATTACACTACTTAAGTTTTGAAGTAGAACATCAAGAAATTTTTTTTTTTTTAGTTTTTTGGGTCACACCCAGCAATGTTGGGGGTTACTTCTGGCTTTGCACTCAGGACTTGGTGGTACTCAAGAGCCTTAACATACCAATTTGGGAACAGAGAGATGTCTTGATTGTTGTTGATCCTGGTTGAACCCTGGTACCCACCTGGTCTCCTGAGCAAAGCTGCATACAGTCTCGAAGCCACTGAATACCACTGAGTGGCCTGGATAATCCCTGGCACCCCTGTGCTGGTGAGACAGCTAGAGGTTATGAGTTTGATTCTGGCACCACATATCACCCACAATCCAGCATCACTAGGGAGATTTTGGTGGCTCCCAGCAGTGTTCAGCCAAAGCTTTGCTGCATTGTCAGGTCCTATGATTGAAGTGCCAGACCTAGTTTAGGAGTGGATCCTGGGGCCCTGAACACCTCTGGTGAGATCCCCACCCTTAACAATAAATTGTTATTTAAAACATGTCAGAGGAGGACAACTTACAACAACCTTTGCAGTTCAAGACATATTTTACTTTTATTTTAGTTTCATTGTGTTTTACTGAAACATATTTCCTGGATATCACACACAGTGTAGTTTTGATTTATACTGATTTTACCTTTACGTTGCTTACAGTAATAAAATAAAGATTGTGTGTTAAAAAAACTTGTTATTTTTACTAGTAGCTTTGAATTTTATTTGTGTTAACTATGTTTAGAGTTAATTTAAAACCATTTTTTTTTCAGAAACAGCATTTAAATTTAAAGCCTTAAAGAAGGTTGCCCAGTTAGCTGTTATAAATAGCCTTGAAAAAGTAAGTTATAACTACTCTGCTATTAAACTTTAGTTAATTTTTGGTTATAAATGTTATAAGTATTTCTGTCTTTTGTCACTGTCACTGTTCTCCTGTTGTTCATCGATTATCTCGAGCGGGCCCAGTAACGTCTCCATTGTGAGACTTGTTGTTACTGTGTTTGGCATATTGAATACATCACGGGTAGCTTGCCAGGCTTTGCCGAAGGCGAGATAGTCTCGATAGCTTGCCAGGCTCTCTGAGAGGGGCGGAGGAATCAAACCCGGCTCGGCCGTGTTGGCTGCTTGCAAGGCAAACGTCCTGCCCGCTGTGTTATCGCTCTACCCACTGTCTTTTGTATTTTAAATAAAAAAGTCATGGCTTGATTTGTAATTTAAGATTAAGTTTTAGAAAGAAAGCATTGCTGTATTATGAAGAGAATTAGAAGTTTGTGTATATAATTGGAGGTGTATGACATTTCACTTACTATGTTACAAAAATATGACTGTTTTACATGAAAAATTATGTTTTGGTCTTTTTAGGCATTTTGGAACTGGGTAGAAAATTATCCAGATGAATTTACAAAGCTATACCAGATTCCACAGACTGATATGGCTGGTAAGGATAAGTTTTGGTTTTTAATTTTTCTTATAAACTCTAATTTATGACCTAAATAAATCCTATTGCTTTCCAGATCATTTTTATATTTTGGTTTTGGGCCACATTGGTGATGCTCAGGGATTATTCCTGGTGGTGTTCCAGGTACCATATGGGATGCTGGGGATTGAACCCCCCGGGTCTGCCTCATGCGAGGCAAAATGCTCTACCTGCTGTAGAATTGCTCCAGCTTTGCTTTGTGAATTATTTTGTTATTAACTTGCTTTTACATTTTTCAACTGATGTCAAATAGGAAGTACTCTTTCTAGTATTTCTAAAAATGTCCCTGTTCCATTTCCTTTCCTTTGAGCAAACAGGAAAGAAGTTTGAAATGAAGCTATACTACTAGAGCTGTGATTTGGATATTTGGGACTTTCGTTGTTTTTGTGGGAAAGTAACTTCTTATGGTTTCAATTTTATATTTAGGGAGATGTGTAAAAATAGTAATATCCCTACCTAAATTCTTGAGTAGCACTTGCCAAAGCAGGGAATTAAATACTGAAGAATGTCAGTGATTCCTTTTGAAAAGATCTTCAGTCTTGGTTCCTTAGTTGCATAACAGTTTGCATAGTACTGCACCTGAAGACTAAATATAAGTTTCATCATTTTGAAAAGTGGTTGAATTTTCGATCACAGTAAATTATCTGATACTTAGACAATATGACACTGTTTTTCTGCTTATGTGAATGTATTTTAGTTGTTTAAATGAGCATCAGTTTTTTTTTTAAATCTGACTTTTGGAATTTGGAATTGTGCTTTTTGGGATTTTTTCCCTTCTCATCTGATAACATTAATATTTATATTTTTACTTAGAATGTGCAGAAAAACTATTTGACTTGGTGGATGGTTTTGCTGAAAGTACCAAACGGAAAGCAGCAGTTTGGCCGCTGCAAATCATTCTCCTTATCTTGTGTCCAGAAATAATCCAGGATATATCCAGGGACGTGGTTGATGAGAACAACATGAATAAGGTGAGGAAGTCAAAGTTATTTCCATTATATCCAGATGTGAAGTAGCTTATTTTACTCAAAGTGATTCCTAAATGCAGAGCCAGGAGTAAGCCCTGAATACAGCAAGGTGCTGCCCAAACACACACACACACACACACACACACACACACACACACACACACACACACACACACAAGAAAACAGTATTGAGATGGTAAAGCAGGTAAACCTCATGTCTTGCATGCTGCTGATCCAGGTTCAAACCCGGGTTTTATAGGCCGCATGAGCCAAGAGTGATTGCTGACCATAGAGCCAGGAGGTTTTTTTAAGAGGGTTTACTTTTGTTGTATATCTTGGGTCTGGGTACATGCACTCTTCAACTGTGGGAAACTCATGTCTGTGATTTTTTTGACTAGTTAGTGGTTCTTTGAGTTGCCTTCATATTTCTGAGGGATTCTGTTTATTCTTAAATTGCTCCTCTTGAACTCATCTCACAGTTTGCTGGTGTGCTGTTCATTTCTTTTCAGACCTTTCCCCATCTTCCGTTGTTTTCTAGAGGTTTCCTGCGTCTCATTTTGGGGCTCACCAACTACTCCTTCAGCTGTATTACTCTGTTGTGAGGTTTTCCATTGAGTTGGTGTTTTTCTGTTTGTTTCGTTTTTAATTTCACTTACCATGCTCTTCATTTCTCTCAGATCTGATTGTGGTTTTCTCATATCTGCTTTCACACAATCTCAATCCTGTGGTTTACGACTTCCTGTATGGTTGTGGTGGTTGGTTTATTGTTGTTGTTGTTTGTTTTGTTTGAGCTCATTAGTCATCCTCATCATGGTATCTCAGTGGTCAATATCTGATAAGTTACAGAACTAGTTGGTATTGTTAGAGCCTTCTGTGCTCTGATCCTTATGCATCTTTGATCTTCTAGGGGGCCTTCCTGTTGTGTCTGCTGTGTTCTGAGGGTGAAACTTTCTAGTTCATTCTCTTGGGGAATTCTCTGAGGGTTTAGGCTGAAGTGTGCTGTTTTCCTTCCTATTGGTCCTCACCTAGTTATAGGAGGTATTAGTGTATGTAGTTTGAGATACAGTTAGTTTAGGTGTCATATCGCTGTGTCAGGACTGGAACTGGTCTCAGCTTCATGCAAGGTGTATATACCTTCACTCCTATACTATTTCTCTGTTTCCTTGGAGAAGTTTTTTTGTTTGTTTTTGCTAGATAGATATTTAAATTTTGTACCTAAGGCTGGAGCAATAGCACAGTGTGTAGGTCGTTGGCCTTGCATGCAGCCGACCCACGTTTTATTCCTCTGTCCCTCTTGGAGAGTCCAGCAAGCTACCAAGAGTATCCCTCCCACATGACAGAGCCTTGCAAGCTACCCGTGACGTATTCGATATGCCAAAAAAACAGTAACAAGTCGCACAATGGAGACGTTACGGGTGCCAGCTCAAAAAAAATCGATGAACAATGGGAGGACATTGCTACCCAGGAAGAAGCTCATTTTTTTTTTTAATTTTTATTAGTGAGACATCATGAGGTACGGTTGTACACTTACAAATTTTTGTGCTTCGGTTTCAATTATACAATGATCAAATACCCATCCCTCTGCCAGTGCCCATTTCCCTCCACCACGGATCCCAGTATCCTTCCCATCCCCATTCCACCATCCCACCCTGCCTCTGTGGCAGGGCATTCCCTTTTGTTCTCTTTCTCTTATTGGGTGTTGTGGTTTGCAAAAGAGGCAACAGGTGACAATCATGTTTGGTCTATAGTCTACTTTCAGCATGCTTCTCCCATCCTGGGAGGATCATCCCAACACCCTTTATTTGGTGTTCCCTTCTCTATCTGAAGCTCATTCTTTTTTAATCCTCTACATTTTTGCTCAGAATTCTCCTTCCCAACTTTCTGTTTATTCATTTTATTTAGAAATAATTTGCATAACAGATAATTCACTCCTAAAAATGATTTTTCTTTTTTAAAATTGTCAACGTTATGGCTTACAGTAGTGTTAGTATTAGTTTAAGGCCTAAGTGTTTAAGGCTACACTTGCCACCAGGGAATCCAGCATCCCTCTACCACTGTCTGTTATGTTCTTTTCCAGCCCCCTCCCTGTTCCTGTGCTTCATGAGCTCAGTTCTTATAGGTAGAGTCTCAGGGTCTTATCATTGGCTATTTTTTTTCCTTTTCTATGTCTGATGCACTCTTTTAGCAAGATAACCTCTATTTCCCTCCACATTGCATAAATTGCAAGATTTGATATTTTTATAGCTGAGTAATCTGTTTTATGTACATCTATATATACACATATATATATCTCACAATTTTTTGCCTATTCATCTGTCATTGAGAACAAATTATTTTTTGTGCTGAGGATTGAAATGGGGCTTCATACATGCAAAGCAAATGATATACCACTGAACTACATTCCAGATTAGAAATGTTTTTTTCCATTAAAATATTAAATAGAAATTAATACTATTTTGAGAGTTCTCAATATAGATTCCTTATCAAATCATATGTTGCTGTACTTTTTTTTTCCTTTTAATTCCCTGACACAGAGCCTGGAGTGAACTCCTGCCACAGCTGAGTCTGACCCAAATGCAAAAAAGGAAAAAAAAAGCAACCCCCACACCAAAAATGAAAGCAGAAATTCTTTTCCCAAAAACATGTGCCTACTCTAAATGACCTTTAAAGCCAGTATGTATTATTTTCTAGTGTCAGTTAAAATTACAAGATCTCTCTCTCTTTTTCTGACACACACACACACACACACACACACACACACACACACACACATATTACTAGCAGCCCCCAAAGTACCAAACCCAGGTTCTGCACAAACCAAACATAAGCTCCGACCCTTTGAACTATGTTTACAGACACTCTTTTATTCCTATAACCTTTATGTATCTACAAAAACAGTAGTAGTCTCACTTTTAATTGATATTTTTTGGTGTTTGAATCTTTTTATTTTATTCTAAAGGTTTGTCAAGATTTCTTGGCCTTTTGAAAAGAAATGGCCTTAGATTTTATTGGTTTACTAGTTTACATTTTTTCTTTATTTTTGCTCTACTTTTTATTTCCTTACTTCTAACTTTGGGTTTAGTTTCACTTTTTTATTTACTTAAGATACAGTTTACTTATTGATTGTGATTGTTCTTTTATAGAGTAAGCATTTCCAACTGTAAATTTTCCTCTTAGCATTGCTTTTGCTATAATCCTTAAGTTTTGGTATGTTGTGTTTTATTTGTGAATTTTCCAGTTTTTCTTCTTTTTATTTGTAGTTTCGTTATGATAAGAAAAATATTTTATATGATTTCAATCCACATTTATTGACTTGTTTTATGACATAATGTGGTCTTTTTTGGAGCTGGTTCCATGTTCTTGAGAACAGGAATTATGCTATTTGGTGAATTTAGTTTTCAACATCTTATATTTGAGAGTAGGTGAGTGGAGGCAGGAAATTTTCTTTTTTTTATTTTAGGAGAACTAAGGGAAGAAATTTGTCAGTTGTAAGGAGGGCTTGAACTTTCAAGAATTGGTAACTTTTTCTAAGGAATACAAATTAGAACCGTCAATCACTCTAAAGTATGTACTTAGAAGGCTAAAGGTTGATATAACCTGAACTTTTAGATAAGGATGACCAGTTTGAGAAAAGTCATATAATCAAGATAGTTTAATATTTAGAAATTTAAGGTATAATCAGATAAAATCAGATAGGTCCACTCCTTTGCCGAAGAATGACTGTTTTTTATGTTCTTTTAAGACTGGACAGACAACCCAAAGGGTGAATGCACATGTTTTGCATGTAGTAGGCTTGGGTTTGATTCTCAACACTGCATGGTTCTCTGGGAGTAAGCATTAGGTGTGGAGTAACTCCCGAACAGTGCTGGGTATGGCACAAAAACCAAACAAAAATTTAAGTCAAGAACAGATTCTGGATTTTTGAATTTGAGAAGTATTTCAGAGATGATAAGTGATGAAAATTTAAAACCACAAATATCAATTATGTATTTTTAAAAGTATGACTTTTAGAGACTGATGATTTTCTTTTTTATTGTATAACTTTGACGTTTAAAACTTTGTATGCCCTCTTACTATATTTGAACTCTAGAAGTTGTTTCTGGACAGTCTACGGAAAGCCCTTGCTGGCCATGGGGGAAGCAGGCAGCTGACAGAGAGTGCTGCCATCGCTTGTGTCAAGCTGTGCAAAGCAAGTACTTACATCAACTGGGAAGACAATTCTGTCATTTTCCTGCTAGTGCAGTCCATGGTGGTTGATCTTAAGGTAACGTTCTTAATATTTCCTCATTTCAAATTTAAATTGTTTTGAAAAACAAACTCCTAGTGCAGTTATTTCACCCTATCATTTTCAAAGTACATTGCTAGCCATGAAGTTCTAAATCTCTGATTTCAAGTTCAGACGAATTGGTTTTGTTGTTCAGGCTAAAGTAACTTTGAATATAAAAAAATAAAATTGTCTTAAATTACCATAAATATCCTTACTTGGATTTTATGCAGTACAAAACTTAGTCTGAGAGGAATTATGAATGGTATAGGATTTTAACAGACAGATAAACCAGTGCTCTGTACTTCTGGCAAGTGAAAGTAATTGCTGTTTTGTTAATGTTATTAAATACTTGGGAGAATAAACTATTTAACTGCTTAAAAACTTTTTGTTTTCTATTAATGTTTCCAATAGAACCTGCTTTTTAATCCAAGTAAACCATTCTCAAGAGGCAGTCAGCCTGCAGATGTGGATTTAATGATTGATTGTCTTGTTTCTTGCTTTCGTATAAGCCCTCACAACAACCAACACTTTAAGGTAAGGACATTTGTTAGGCTTTCTAAGGCTATTGATTCTTTATAAGTGTTGAATAACTAAAAATATTAACTGGTTACACCTCTGTTGCCATTTCTCAATATTACATGTTAATGTTTATTTTAAGATTGTAAAATTACATTGTTTTTCAAAGAAATTTCTCTTTGTTGTTCTTTTTTCCTAATTTGCATTGCAATTTATTTCAAAATAGTCTCTTTTTGTATTTTTTCCTCTTTCCTCTGTAGATCTGCTTGGCTCAGAATTCTCCTTCTACATTTCACTATGTGCTGGTAAATTCACTCCATCGAATCATCACCAATGTAAGTCCAAAAGGTATTGCTAAATTACTTAATTTTTTTCTTTCCTTTTTATGTTTTTTTTTAGAATGAAATTCTTGGTTCACCTAAGACTCTGAACTTAGATGAATAATCTACATAATAATCTAGGAAGAAATCTAACAGTTGGTTATATCTAATAACTGATATACAATTCTATTTTTACCTTTAGTTTTAACCGTAGAACCCTTATTGAGTAAAGTGGAAATAATAAGATACTTTGGAAAGGTTAAATCTAAAACACTTATTTTTTCTCAAGAGCCCTTGGGAGACAGTGCCACTGAAAATATAAATAAACATTTTAATCCCGGAGCTCTTTATGTGTATGTATACACACCATCTCTTTTCCAACCTTTAATCTGCCTTGTCATAATTTAAGTTCTAAGAAAATAATTTTTACATTGTAGTCCAGTCTGGTACATTTAAGAAAAATGGTGAGATGGTGGGTGGATGGGCTGATACATTATGATGCATTACTTTTCAGATTTTTTTCTCATGTGCATGTTATTTATTTTGTTTGATGTACCACACCGGATGGTGCTTAGGGCTTTACTCCTGGCTCTGCATTTGGGGACACTTCAGATGGTGTTTGGGGGATCATATGGAGTGCTAGGGATCAAATTTGATTGGCCTCATACAAGGCAAGCACCCTATCCACTATTGTCTCCCTGAACCCAATTTTTTTGTAGAAAATTAAAAAAAATTTTTTTTCTTAAGAGTACAGTGTTTTGGGGCTAGAGCAATAGTTCAGCATGTAGGGCATTTGCCTTGCACGCAGCTGACTCTGGTTTGATTCCCAGCATCCCATATTCCATATGGTCACCTGAGCACTGCCAGGAGTGATTCCTGAGTGCAGAGCCAGGAATAACCCCTGACCGCAAAAAAAAAAAAAAGCAAAAACAGACAAACAAAAAGACTACTACATTTTCCTTATGCTGTTGCACACTGTATAAACCTATTCTAAGTCTAATCAAAAAAGCCTTTCTCAGGGATTACTCCTGACTCTGTGCTCAGGAATTACTCCTGGTGGTGCGTGGGGGACCATATGGGGTTGAACCCAGGTCCGCCTCATGCAAGGCAAATGCCCACCTGTTGTTATTTTCCAGCCCCAACAAAGCCTTTCTCTTAAAAAAAAAATGAGACCCTATTTGATGCTTCAGTTCAGTCTTTAAATAAATGAACTATTAATTCACTTAATTAAAGTTGTTGACCTGCAGAAGCTTATCAGACAAAATAAGCCTATCAAAATGTACATGTGAAATGTTCTACTGATGTGAGTACATTAAGTAGAAAGATGGTAGAGCATTACCAGATTTGGATCATGGACTTAAAAAGTTCTCCTATGAGCAGTCATATTGTGGAGCTTCTCAGTAATTATGTATCACAATTCTATTTTTTCCCCCTTTACAAATATTCACCTTTATAAATCTGTTGCTTCACTTCTTTTTTGTTTTCCTCCTTTAAGAAAAGGGCTCTAATCATTTATTCCTCAGGTATGTTTATAGTTAAATCCCATTTTATTTTAAGAGTATGTTTCTGAAGAACACCTTCCTACTTCATTTGCTTTGGATGTGTTACTTAAAATAAGTACTGCCCACATATTATTTTATCCCTTCCTGCAGGAGAAAACAGCTATTAATAAAACTAGTGACACATAGTTTTTCTCAATGCAAGTGGCATTTTATACAGAACAATGATCTGTTGCACTAGACTGCCTTGTGCATTATCAGAGATTGAGCGTCTCCAGTCCTCATTTTATTAAATGCTGTTTTGCTACCTTCCTTTTTCACTCCCAGTCATTATGAAACATTAAAATGGGTGAGGGAGCGTGCTTTTCTCTCAGTTGAGTATCAGAGTCAAATTATAGGTGAAATAACATGAAATGCTATTTGTTCCAAATGGAAAGTTTTATGAATCAGATTGAAAATAAGGTATGTTTAAAAAAACACTTAATTTGCCTGTTTAACAAGTCAGGACGCTGTAAATTCTAGATTTACTCTCAAGGCTATTGGAGAGGGAAAAAAAATCCCTCATATTGTATGTAATTTGGAAAAAAATCCTTCTTGTTTCTGTGTTGGCTTAAAATTTACTAAAATTTAGAATGGATAGTCTTACACAAATGCTTAAAACTTGTATTTAGTAAATCCAAGCTATATAATTTTTTAACATTGTGGCTAGTTACTTTAATTGTGAAATATTTTTGTCTACAATTGAAAATATAGAGCACTTTCAAGCATGGACTTGGCACTGCTGTAAGTGGCTAAGCTGCTCCTTTGTGGGTTTAAAGCATGACTGGAGTGGTACTTCATGCATGCCTCAGTGTATGTGGTGAAGTGGTTGTGCATCCTTTTATTCTTCTACCAAGTACTGCATGTGTGAAGGTGGAGTGTGTCTGTATCAGAGGTCATGTCACTATAAATCTGTATCAAAATATATTGACTCATTGAAAAAAAATTAAACATCAGTAACCTGTCTGTGACCTAGTTTGAGAAGGTTGCACTAATTTGAATTGCAAAGTATCTTTTAAAAGTTAAATCTTAGATAATGATATATCATTTTAGATAATTTGATAATTTTTTTTCTAAGGTTTTAACTCCCCCTGGGTTGAGGCTACATAAGTGTCGAGATTTATGAACTGACAATTAGAGAATCTCACTGAATACAGTTAATCATAGAAAGAATTGGTCTTGAAATCACATGATTTTTTTTCTTATTTGGATTCCTAGTTTTTCACAGTGTGATTTTTTTTTTCCGTTAAGAAGTTTCTGGATCATTTTGCTTCAGAAGTTTTGTTTTTAAATGCTTATTTGACCAGTTCACTAATTTAAAAATTAATTGCATTCTCAAATAAGATAAGCTTTACTGATGAAATTTTGAGTGTTTATATTACTGGAGCGATAGCACAGCTGGTAGGGTGTTTGCCTTGCACACGGCCGACCCAGGTTCAATTCCTCTGTCTCTCTCGGAGAGCTTGGCAAGCTACTGGGAGTATCCCGCCCACGCGGTAGAGCCTGGCAAGCTACCGTGGTGTATTCAATATGCCAAAAACAGTAACAAGTCTCACAATGGAGACGTTACTAGTGCCTGCTCGAGCAAATTGATGAACAATGGGAGGACAGTGCTACAGTGCTACCTGGTAATAATAATACAGAGTTTTGTTTTGGTTTTAAGAAACATATTATTTTATAAGTACTATGTTTAGGACTAAGATAATTTTGCTGTGTCTTAGGAAATGTGGTAGTGTTGTGACTCTGAATTTTATTGTATCATTTTTCGTATGTTTCTAAAATTGTACTTATAATATTACCTTATCTTTTTTATTTTTATCTTTTTTGGGCTTGGGAAACCTCATAAGTGGTATTCAAGGGAACTGACGCCACACCCAGCAATTGTTTCTCACCAACTAGGCTGAATGGTTGAATGCTAGTACCCAAGGATGCAGTACAACTCAGGCCTTGAAGTACTGGGGGCTGTTTACCTCTCATTCCCTACAGTGCTGATGTGCCACCAGGGCCATACCCATTAGTGTTTGTAAGCCTCCAGAGAGAGCTATATTCAGCATTGCTCAGGGAGTCACATGGAGCTGAGCATCAAACCAGAGTTCCATGTACCCTAGCCTCCATGCTATCTCCCAAACATACTATTGCCTTTGAAAAATAATGATACACCATGAAAGATGAATTAGAGTTAAAATATGTGTTATATATTTAATCTAAGTTTTGTTTAGGTTAATTTAGATATGTTGTTAAAATTGGGGAAGTAAAGAATTACACATATATCTCAACCAAATATCTTAGCCACCATAAATATCTTAGTACCATTGGTCCATGTTATAGCTGTTATAATACTTAGTATTCTCTTTGTCTTTTATGCCAGTTTAGATGTTTAGTTTTATTTCACGTTTATTTTAGTTTTCATAAGTCTAGTTCAGATACTAAGAATGAGTTGAAAGTTATTTGGAAGGAGCCGATAGCACAGCGGGTAGGGCGTTTGCCTTGCACGCAGCCGACACAGCTGATCTGAGTTCGATTCCACCACCCCTCTCGGAGAGCCCGGGAAGCTACCAAGAGTATTTCTCCTGCACAGCAAAGCCTGGCAAGCTACCCATGATGTATTTGATGTGCCAAACACAGTAACAAGTCTCATAATGTTACTGGGCCCGCTCAAGCAAATCGATGAACAACGGGAGGACAGTGATAGTAATAGTGGCATAATCTGTTGAATTGTTATAGTTTGCTCATGTAACAAGAGTATAGTATAGCCATTTGTTTGGCAATAAATAATATTTGCAAAGAAGAAAAGACAAGTGTAATTGACAGGTTTCAGAAAGATTATACTAAGTGATTGTTAAAAATACTAAAATTTTTTAACAGTCACCTGATGCCTAGTTTCTTCTAATGCTTGCTTTATTTTAAAATGTATTTAAAAAATTTTTTTTTTTTTTTTGCTTTTTTTGAGTCACACCCGGTGATGCACAGGGGTTACTCCTGGCTTTGCACTCAGGAATTACCCCTGGCGGTGCTCAGGGGATTATATGGGATGCTGGGAATCAAACCTGGGTTGGCTGCGTGCAAGGCAAATGCCCTACCCACTGTGCTATCATTCCAGCCCCATATCTTTTATTTTTAACTTCAAAATGAATTAATTTGGACCAGGGATGTGGTTCAGTGGTAAACAAATGCTTTTCATATGTGAGAACCTGGATTTGATCCCTGGCACTACAAGATAATTTTTTTAATGAACAAATTTATGTTTTAGAAAAATATCAGTTAAGAAAATTACTAGATCTAAATCATAATCAAGTAATTAGTAGGATATACTTAGTACCGTGATACAGTTTCAGTAGCGATTAAAATAACATTATTTACAAGACCCAGGGACTCCCAGACACTTGGTTTAACCAAGCTCCCAGACACTTGGTTTAACCAAACCTCTTATGTCTAGTTCTCTCTCTCAGAGAACCCAGTAGGCTACCGAGAGTATCCTGCCCGCACAGCAGAGTCTGGCAATCTCCCTGTGGCGTATTTGTTAATGTCAAAACCCATTAACAATCATGGGTCTCATTCCCCTGACCCTAAAAGAACCTCCAATGTGGCACTTGCTGAAATCTCAGGGCTAGAATGTTACTGGTGCTTGCTTGAGGAAATCGATGAACAATGGGATGACAGTGATACAGTGATTAAAATAACATTAATTTGGAATGAAGTTATCTGAGATGCTATCTTTTAGTTTCTAACAAGATAACAATATACTAGTGTTTCATGTAGTGAGAACCTTATCTCAGTGAATTTTGTGATTATTCAGCTTTTGCTACTTAAAGCTAATTAATATACACTTTAAATCAGTGAACACATGAAAATTAGACTAGAATGATTACTTTGAAGAAATGAGATGATCAAATTGGTCAATAGTTAAGGTGTCTATTATATAATCAAACTAACAATCCATCATTTATTAGAAATTAGCTTTAATTAAGAGTTGAGGGAAAAGTAGAACCAAATAAAAAATCAAACTTCTCTTTTTTGGGGATTTTCTTCTTAAATAGAATATTATATATTCAATTTTCTAGTTTACTATCTAGTAAGTAAAATTTGTAATCCAGTATTTTGGCTTAAGGTAATATAACTTAGTATTACTCAAAGTATTTAGGGAATTGTTAGGTAAAAAATTTTAAACTTCAAAATTTTTTTCTTTCTGTTTTTTCTTTTTGGATCACACCCAGCGATGCTCAGGGGTTATTCCTGGCTGTGCACTCAGGAATTACTTCTGGCGGTGCTTGGGGGATGCCAGGAATTGAACCTGGGTCGGCTGTGTGCAAGGCAAATGCCATACCCATTGTACTATTGCTCCGGCTTCCAAACTTTGAGAATTTAAATAAATTAGTTTTGAATAAGAAGGAACCTAGGAACAGGACTTCATGTTCTATAAAATTTCTTTTATCTAAATTCTTTTTAATTGCCATTTTAATATATTATTGCTTTGTTATTGTTTCTTACAATAAGTGTTTTAATTTGTATGCACTCCATATGTAGAGATTTTCCTTTGTGTTAATAGAGAAGCTTTATAGTTTCAGTGTTTTGTGTAACTTATTTTTTATAATGTGGGAATTTCTTTTAAAGATAAGCTTTCAAACTGAGAAAACACCAAAAACTTCAATAAAAACTAAACAGGTTGGGGGCTGGAAAGATATTATTGGGGGGGGGGGTCAGGTGCTTTTCTTGAATGCAGTTCACCCCGGTTCTATTCCTGCACTTTCTGTAGTTTACCAAGCACTCCCAGGAGTGACCCTTGAGTGCAGTTTCAGGAATATTCCCTGATTTCTTCCTGGTGTGGCCCTTGGACCCCAGGGAACAAAACTCAAACTAAACAGATTAAGTCAAAATAGAAAAATATTTGCACAAAAAAATTTAGATGATGTTTGTCTTGTGGTGATCATTAGCCTTTCATATATTGTGCCATCATTGTGTATCAGTTAAAAATGATAGATTTATGATTTCATTTACTAATTTCATATTACAATTCTCATTATTTATAGGTAAATAAGTACTTGCCACATATTATTTCAACATTGTGTTGAACCACTAATCTCATTTTTTGAGTGCTGTATGTGTCTGTGTATGCCAGGAATTGAACTCAAGGCCTAATGCATTCCGAGGCATTCATTCTACCACCAGTTTAAATCCTAGGACCTCTAATTTCTTTTAATGCTTTGATAATAATAACATTATCTGGAGAGATATGTCCTGTATATGCATATGTTTTTGAAAGGTATGAGACATTAAATATTTTAAAAAGATAAGCTACAGAAACTACAAAATAAAGACTGAAGATTTTATTCAGATTCATTGACTTACCACTAAGTATAGTATACTCTCATTTGTTCATACTCATTAAGTGGGTGATTTGTCTTGTTTTCATTGTATTTTAAATAGATGTATGGTTAAGTGTGTGATATTGGACATTATGAAATTTGGAAATCATGGTTTGTGTTTGCATGGCCTTAGAAATTTCTCACAAAAGGATTAAAATAAAAGCTACAGTGATTGCTTGCACATATAACTCAAGCAACTGTACTTCTCCTTTATTGTGGTTTCTGTTTTTCTCCAGTCTGCACTGGATTGGTGGCCTAAGATTGATGCAGTATATTGCCACTCAGTTGAACTTCGAAATATGTTTGGCGAAACGCTTCATAAAGCAGTGCAAGGTTGTGGGACACACCCACCAATACGAATGGCACCGGTAAGATAAATCATGAATTTTGAGCCCCACATTTTTCTATTAATTTCAGTGCCTTTATCCTGTTTATGATATCTTTGATTTTTTAAGAAAATCAAGTGAGTTCTTTTCTGTAAATATTATGTCATTGTATACTGCAATATTGTTGCATTACTAATTAATGTTTGTCTTTCTCGATTTGAGTTGATTGAATTTTTTGTAAAATTTCTCACAAAATATTAAAATCTTAATGAGTGTCCTTTACTCTTCTTTTTTATAGTTTATCTCATTTTAACCTCCTTATGAATAAAAATATTTTTATTATCTTCTCATCTTTTGAGAATGTATAAGGTAACCTGATTCCTGGGTTAGAGTAAATGTTCTTTTTTTCCCATTAGATGCTGAATGTGGCATATAGAAAATTTAAAAATGAGATGTTTTCCTGTAAAATAACTTTCTTATTGCAGAAAATGTGTTTTAAAATGTTTAGAAATAATAATTTTATATTAAAGTTTGCGTTTTAACTTTAAAATTTTTCAAATTAGGTATTCTAACAGGTTAAAACTCGTAATGTGAAATTTTAAAACTCATGGAACCAATTAAAACAGACAATTATAGCATTGTAGAAATCATTTCTTGATATTTATATATAGCAAGAGTATTATACATGGCAACTCTTGGCATTGATTGGTGGTGCTTTGTCTTCTGCTTCTTATTTTCTATTCTTATTGGCTGCTGTCGCTCACATGATCAGATGCCAACCAGTCACTGTTTTGCATGGCAGTGGGCTTCTGTGGCTGTAAGTATAAACCATTGTAACTACCTCAGAAAAGTCCCTGGTTTATTTGACTTTTCTGTGTATAGTTACTGTTATAATCACATCATGTTCTCTCAAATGAAAATGTAGTATTTATTTTTAACCTCTTGTTTATATATAATAACTTAGCCATCTCACACTTTATACTTTAAACAGTGCCCTCCATGGCATGCTCCTCTTTTTTCAAGTTCTCTTAGTCAATAAAATATCTTGGTTTTGTACAATTGTCATTCAAAATTCTTATCCAGTTACCAGTAATTACTTTGGAGACTTTGTTTTAGATTTTTAAGTAGAGACATTTACTCTGCAGATGTTTTTAGATCATTTAGCTTAAACAGTTATAGCCAAAGGAATAGGGCAATTATATTTTACTAAAATGCAAAATTATTCTTTGTTTACTATATTTTTTATATAAAATAACGTGAAATAAATTTAAAAAGTATTCACTGGTTCATTTATTCATTCCAGATATTTTTTGGAAACTTAGACTTTCCTTGACTTTTTTTTTTTTATTAAGTTTTCTACCTCACTAGAAAACTAATAGAACTTAGTGGCAAGTTACTACTCACTTCCTACTTAAAGTTTACTAATCATCTGTAGTTAAATGTGCTGGCATGAGACTTAAAGAAGATATAACTAAAATATTCTTTTGAACAAAGACAAAATTAGATTGGTGGGTTAAAATTTTAAAGATATTTAGCCCAAGTTATTACCTAATTGCACGATCTATGTACTGTGCTATGGGTCGCTATTTTATAAAAGCCATAGTTAGACTTCTTTTGGCACAAACACAACATGATGAAAATGTAGTTTTTTAAATTAAAAAAATGTATTCACCATGATTCATAATTTTACATTAGTGTCAATGATGGAGGTTTCTTGAATACAGCATTCTAACACAACACCCCCTATTGGAGTGTCCATTTCTCTCTACCTTTGTTTCACAGTCTCCACCTAATCTTTTCCCCCTTATGTCTTACTGTCATAATAAGCTCAGTTTTGTAAATCAGCTCATAGATTTTGTTGCTTTCATCCTTCTGTTGCTTTCTTACTATGCATATTGCATACCCTTCAGTTCCATCCACATTGTGGCAAATTGCATGGTTTTATCTTTTCTTATAGCTGGGTAGAGTTCCATTGTGTATATATACCATAGTTTCTCTATCCAGTCATCTATTCTAGACACTTGGGTTGTTTCCAGATTGTGAATAGTGCTGCAATGAACATAGGAATGCAAATGTCTTTTCTGACTAGAGTTTTTGTACCCTTTGGCCAAGATGCCCAGAAGTGGAATTGCTGGATCATATGGAAGCTAAATTTTTAGTTTTTTGTAGAGTGTCCATATTGTTTTATAAAAGAATTTGTGTGAGCGATTTGTATGTATTATTTTTAAATTGAAAATAGTAGTGTGCATTGGATTTTAAAAGATATATTGTTTTATTTTTTCATTTGATTTTGTTTGGGGGCGACACCTGATGGTGTTCAGGCTGTACTTCTGCCTCTGTGCTTAAGGATCACAGCTGCTGGGCCCAGGAAACCATTTGGAGTGCTGGGGATTGAACCCAGGTTGGTCACGTGCAAGGCAAAAGCCTTGCCCACTGTATATCACTCTGGCCCCTGGTTTAAATTTTTAGCAGGGATTCCACCCAGTGTTGTAGGGGACCCAAGACCAACCCTGGTGATGATTGACTCAGCAGTTGGGGCTTCATGGTATGGTGCTGAGATGCCACCTGGTAGTGCTTAGAGGTTTATTTCAGTGCTGGGGCTCAAACTAGGGCTTCACACATGCTAGACATGAGATACCTCTTTAACTACCAAATGAGTCTTAAGTCGTTCATACTCACTAGTGTTTACATCTCAGTTTTTGTATGTGTTAATAATTCTATTTGATATCTAATTGTATATGGACCCTCAAACTATGCTCAGGAGACCCAGGGCCACTTATTGCTATACACAGCATATAATGTCTAAAAGTACAACTTTCTGGCTAATTTTCTTAGCATGGATAATAGCAAATTTAATATAGAATAATTATTTGGAAGAATTATTTAGAATTTGGATGATCCTCTTAAACCTAGAGAGTGAAAAGCCAGACAGTAAATATGGAGCATTTGTGTTCCCACTGGCTGCCAGTGTTAATGACAGCAGAGCCTGATGAGCTAAACAGGCATGGCTCTTTCCATCCCAGAGATCTGTTCCTATAGCTTTTACTTGAAAATGTCTAATGAATGCAATACCACCATTTCATAAAGTCTGGAAACAAAGGTGGATATACATAGTAAGTGATTTTAGAGATGATACAATACACTCAGGTTTCTCAGCCTTGGCACTTTGACATTTTGGAATGGGTAACTCTTTGTCATAGGAGATTTTGCTGCACATTGTAGGATATTTAGCAACATCTTTAACCTCAACCCAGGTATGCCAATAGCATCTACCTGCCACCCTGTACTGACAGTCATATGGCTGCAGGCATTTCTAGATACCCTCTGGGGTCAAAATTGCCCCAGTTGAAATGTTTTTCCATGAGTTCTCACTTGTACATCTGAGGTTCTTACCTCAGATGATTTGTAACTAATAATCTGCTGTCATTTACTGTAGAAATAGCAATGAAGTGTTTAGTCTGTTAAGCTGTAAAATAGTGCCTGTAACTCTAGATTTTATGCCCTTTATCTATTTTGGAGGTAGATAAATTTCTTTTTTGGAAAGTACTGTTTGAAAACTTCTCTTTAATAAAGATAAACTTTTCTCTCTTTCTCACGTTCATCCATTAGTTATCCTCTCTTCTCTTCTGAAGTGCTATACGGCCCTTAACAAGTTGTTTTTGACTACATATAACCCTTGACTAGTCATAAGACAGAATGGGAGCTATTTGAATAAAGTTATCTTTATCAAACCTTAGAGATAGAGATAAAAATATCTTTATCTGTATTCTTAAGGGTCATTTAATTTTTATGACATTGTAGCTTTAGGGAATTTTTTATTTCTACTTTCTTTAGAAGTGTATGGCTATGTGTTGTTTATTCTGTTTTACAGCTAAGGACACTGAGGCACAAATAATGTTAAGTCAGTAATAGTCACACAGTAGTCACATGATTAGTAGAGGTCTAGTATCCATCTGGTTTTTTAGCTGTCTTTCCTTGCTAATGTATTAGCTTGATGAATACAGAAACTTTGGCTTGTGGAGTATTGAGTTCTTAGCATTAAAACTGTATCTGGCATGTAGTAGGTATTTACTACGTACTTGTTGAATGAGTGAATGATTTTTGCTTGACCTATTTTAATACTCATTCTATAAATTATGTGCTTCTCTTTTGGAAAGAATTCAGTCTAACACTTTTTCAGTTAAAAAGAGACATTAAGAGCTGAATTTGGTGTTCCAGATGTCATATAATAATTGAAAGTTATTTACCTGCTGTTCTATGCATAGAATGTTTCTATCAGTCTAATCCAAGATCATACTCTTATCTTGCACTCAGCTTTTAGTCTTCCAAGTTCTTGCCTGTTTCATATGAACATTGAGCTATATAACATGTCCACTTTTAACTTTTGGAGTTAAAATGGAAAGACTGGAGTTAAAATGGAAAGATTGATCTTATTCTTTATTTTTGGGCAACCAAAGTTCTGAGGACTTGCTCCTGGCTCTGTGCTAAGGGATTACTTCTGTCAAGACTCAGAGGATCATATGGGGTGGTGGGAATGGAACCCAGGTCACCAGCGGGCAAGGCAAACATCCCACCCACTGTACTATCTCTCCAGCCCTTGAACGATTTGTCTTTTAATCATTTGCTATATTAAAATGAAGAAAAACTGTTTATAGTAGTGAGGTATGAATTTTCACAAATATATATAATTTCTGTATATTTTGCTTTTGTGTCTGTGTGTGGTGCTGGGACTCAAACCCAGGGTCTCACATGTGCAAGGCAGGCATTTAACACTGAATCACTTCCCTGGCAAAGTTTTTTTTTTTTTTAGGGCCTCCTAAGTGGTGTTCAAGGGGATTCTGGGACCATTCTTAATGCTTTCGATCAATTGGATCATATGCTTAAATACTTCAGCCTGAAAATGTAGTGCTTCTTGGGTTCTTTTTGAATCCTGCAGTGGTTAGAGCCCTCCAGGGCTGCCTTTTTTTTTTTTTTTTAATTGAATCACCATGAGAACAGTTACAAAGCTTTCAGGTTTAAGTCTCAGTCATGCAATGATCAAATGCCCATCCCTTCACCAGTGCACATTTTCCACCACCAAGAACCCCAGTATACCCCCCCATCTCACCCCTCCCCCTGCCTGTGTGGCAGATGATTTCCACTTTACTCTCTCTACTTTGATTACATTCAGTTTTTCGACAGAAGAGCCACCATTCATATTTGGAATTTTCCCCCAACAATCAGACCTCCTGAAAAGGCTTAATTAGATAATTTGTTTTCTATTGCTGATTATGAAGAGCATATAGTGTTGCGATTTTGGATTCCTGGTATTTTAGTAATTAAGTCTGGAGGGATTTCTGCCAGAAGCTGCTGGGTTCCGAGGTTGGTTTGTGTGCCTCTGGGATCATGACCGTTCAGGAGCCGGAGGAGCCGTTCATGGGCCCAATAGGCTGTGAAAGATGGTGGTCACCATGCCGCTGAAAGGAAAAGGCAGAAGGGACAATGCCCTTTCCCCGCCGGTGTGGCACAGGGCCGTAACTTAATTCACAGACCCAACACATTTCTGCCACAAGTCCAGGGCAACTCTTGACAGGGCTTAGGGGGCCCAAGCATTGTACTCTATCTTCAGCCCCCAAATCTGATTTTTTACTGTGTGTTTATATATTTTTTTTCTTTTAGATTTCACATAAAAATATTATACAGCATTTTAGCATTTGTCTATGACATATTTCCCGTCTTTTTTTTTTTTTTTCCTTTTTGGGTCATACCCAGCAATGCACAGGGGTTACTCCGGGCTCTGCACTCTGGAATTATTCCTGGCAGTGCTCAGGGGACCATATGGGATACTGGGAATCGAACCCAGGTTGGCCACGTGCAAGACAAACGCCCTACCCACTGTGCTATCGCGCCAGCCCCCATATTTCCCTTCTTATAATGACCCCAAAGTCCATTCATTTTGCAAAGAGCAGGAATTTCCTTCTTTTTTTGGCTTTAGTTTTTGGGTCACAGCCAGTTGGTGCTCAGGGTTTATTCCTAACTTTGTGCTCAGGGAATCACTCCTCATCTGCTTGGAGCCAACCACATGTGTTGGCAGAGATCAAACTGGGTTTTGGCCAGGTGCAAGGCATGCAAGTGCCTTGCCCACTGTACTGTCTCTTCAACCCTCATCATTCTTGATTCAATAATCCTTTGACAGACACTTAGGTTGGTCCCATATTTTGTTTGCTCATATGGTAGTTTTGCTTTTAATATTTTGAGGAAGCTTCGTGCCATTTTCCAGTGATTGTACCATTTTATAGTGCTGTAGTGGACAGGGAGTTCCTTTTCTCTATATCCTACCTAGCAGGTTGTTGTTTCTTTTAATGATAGCTACTGAATAGGCATGAAGTGATATCTCACTGTATTTTGAGTTCCCTTATGCTGGTAATACTACTTTTCACTTTTTCAGTTTCACTTTTTCAGTTTCCAGTCTCTTCAGATATTTTGCTCTTAAAGGGGGGATTATTTGTAATTTTTTGATGTTAACAGTAGATGGATTCTCATATTTTGTGTGTTAACCACATGAATCAGACATTTGCAGATAATTTATCTCAAAAACTTTAGGTTGTCTTTTTATGTCTTTTGCTTTTCAGAACCCCTTCTAGTTTTGTATAATTCTACCTTGAATTTTGTTTTTTGTGTGTGGGCCACACCTGACAATGTTTAGGGGTTACTTCTGGCTCTGCACTCAGGACTTACTCCTGGCAGTGCTTGGGGGACCATGTTGAATGTTAAGGATCAAACCTGGGTCAGTCATGTGCAAGGCAAGCACCCTACCCTGCTGTACTATTGCTCTAGCCCCTCCATCCTGAATTTTTCTTTTTTACGCTTATATATTAGATATGTGTCTAAAACATATAATTGCCAAGACTCTAGAAGTTTATTCTAGAAGTTTTATGTTCTTGAATGTATGTTTTTTTGTATTTTTGGTTTTTTGTCTTTTGTTTTGGACCAGACTCAGGGGTGCTCAGGGATTACTCCGAGCTGTACTTGGGGGACCATAGAGAAGGCTAGAGATAAAACCCAAGTTGGCGTCATGCAAGGCAATCATCTACCTGTTGTTCCTCTACACTTAAGCTGCTGTTGCTTCTCTACACTTAAGTTTTTAATTGATGTAGTGTTAATCTCTGACTGGTATAGAATTTGCAGATCTTATACATTATGAAACCACTCTGGAGCAAAATTCACATGCTGATTATAATATGACATTAAGAAATGACATAATTAGGAACTGGAGAGACAGGGTGCTTGCTTTGCACATAACTGACCTGGGTTTGATCCCTGGCACCCTACATAGTTTTTTAAGCCATGCTAGGAAAGGTTTAGGAAGCCAAACAGTAAAACATTCATTAAACATTTAATAAGACTTCTGCCATAAGATAAGGAATGATAAAAGCCAACATTGTCAGTTTTTGCTATTTCAGTGCTAGAGTGACATTCTTGAGTATTAATGTATCCGTACATAGCTCTCTCTTTTAGAAATGAAGACTTTCAGTGTTCTTAGGCATAAAAGCACATGTAATCCTCACAACAAAGCAGTGAGGATAGTTGCCATGTATTATACATACACATATACTTTGCTGGTTTTCTCCCCACCGGTGTTTGGGGCCACCAAGGATAAACCTGATTATTCTTGGGAAGCCATTATATGGTGTTGAATATTGAACCAAGGACCTTAGTTTGGAACAAAATCCTTTGAGCTGTGTTCTTGGAATGCATTTTTTCTTTTTACCATAGCAAGGCAGCCTGCTTACTTGGGCATTTTTATTATTTTATTATCTGCATAGATGTGGGATAGTCTATTTGTATATATGCTCACATACAAATAGATGTGTCAAAGGAAAAGGAAAATTCTTGTAAAAATAGAGAAAATAAATATTAGATCTGGGATATGATTGTTGGATTTGGGGTTAAATAACATTCGTAATTATAGTATCAAGCATGGAATCTATCATAGTATCTCTGTAACTGAAACATGTTTTTCTGATTTGAACTTTCTCTAAGATTTCTTTCACTATTTTAACACCGATCATTAGGCAAAATGCATGCATTCTGCAGCTTGAGAGAGATGGAATGTGACTGAAGGGAAAAAGTTACAATTATACTATTAATAACTTGCCTGTAGAGCATATTTCATCAAATTCTAAGAAGCCCTTGTTTTTAGTTTTTGACATCTCTGAAATTGGGAATGCATCTTGTCTGGTGTCTTACAGTTCATAGTGGTTTTTCATTACTGTGGTACATAAAGTAACAATGCTTCATACAATTAATTAGTGTCATGCATTCTATGAAGTAATTATATTTCTGTGTGGGATAAGTATTTGTTAAGCAAGTTGCTCAATGTGTGTATTTGTGAAAGCTATAAAATTAATGTTTTACCCTAATACTTTCACATTTTAGAAAATTGCTTTTTTACATAGTCAGATACTAATATTGAAGCTTTTAGAATTTTAATAGATTTTGCTTAAACTTTATTAGGTTGTATAATAAATGTTCTAAATAATTTTAATTTTTAAGCTTAGCAATATTATTATACCTAATATTTCTAATATGTTGCATACTTGGTTGTTAAAATGTGTTTATTTCAAAGCTTTTAAATTGTTTTTTAAAGTGTATAGCTATGATGCGGATCCATGTCTGGTTCTTATAAGGCATTGTCTTGTTTTTGTTTTTAGAGTCTTACATTTAAAGAAAAAGTAACAAGCCTTAAATTTAAAGAAAAACCTACAGACTTGGAGACAAGAAGCTATAAGTATCTTCTGTTGTCTATGGTGAAACTAATTCATGCAGATCCAAAGCTCTTGCTTTGTGTGAGTATTTGTGTCTCTTTGTGTGTGTGTGCGTGTGAGTACGTGTGTTTATGAAACACGTTGAAATTATTGCAGTAACTTAGTTTTTTTTAATCAGTAAAATACTTTTTTCCTTGAAGAAAGCTAATGAACATTTATTAATCCTACTTAAACCTAAGACATTTTGTAACTTTCTTCCATTATTAAGTTGTTGTATTTTATGAGAGCTTCATTTCTTACATGTTACCATTTAAAATGGTAACATTTTTACATGTTACCAGATTATAATTTTTAGGCATAAGTTTGGCATGACTGGAGAAAATGAAGAGACCATAATTCAAGAGTGTTTCCTACAGCTACTATCTGGTATTCTTTTTCTAATTTCCAATATCTGTTGCCTAACAATTTAGCTTTTCTGTCCCTCTTTTTTCCTTTTATTACTGGCTCTGCTTAAATATACTGTATTGAAAGGAGAGGTCATGAAATGGATGTGATTAGCACTCAGTGATTGTCATAGTGTTACTCTTACAGATGCTATTAGATTTCTAAAGGGGTTTTTTGTTTGTTTTGGAGCCACACCCAGCTGTGCTCAGGGTCTACTTATGGCTCTATGTTCAGGGATCATGCCTGGCTGGACTCCAGAGGCTATATGGGGTGTCAGGAATGGAAAGTAAGTTGGCTGTGTGCAAGGTAGTGCCCTATCTTCTGTACTATGGCTCTCCCAGCCCCCCACCATAAGCATTATTTTAGTATACAAATAATTTAGAACAGTGAGATATGACTGAATATTAGTTACACGAAGTGATAAAAAAAAGTATGAATACTGGAGATACACTATGTATTGTGATTGTTTTAATGCTCTGTGCTTTAGTTTTCTATTTTTAATCCTTCCCTCCCTCCCTCTGTACCTCACTCCCCCCCCCCCGCCCCGCCTTCCTTCTTGTTTCATGATTTAGAATACTGTTAATAGGGTTTTGGGTATATCATGTTCCATTTCCACACTTAACCAATACTTGGCAGCTATTCTTCCACCGGTGTCTCAATATCCACTCCCACTTCCCACGTGCTGTATTTTTCTTACAGGAGGAACAGTGATCATTCTGCCTTTGAAACATTGTTAAGATTGTGATAATGCATGTAGAACTTGTAGGAATAATCCATAAATGCTTAATGAGTAACATGTTTAACTCAACCTTGGAGTTTCCCTAGGCTCAGGAGAGTAGCATCCAGAAAAATTTTTCCCTGCTGTTAAGCAACAGGCTTTTTAAGGTGCTATCAGTTTTGATGCCTTATTTTTTCAGATTGCAATATTCAAATCGTTCAACTTGATGTCCATAGTTTCAAGAGTCCTACCAACCTTTTTGGGGGGGATCTGGGTGGGGGTCAGGTGCATTGGGCCATACCTGGCAGTGTTCCATGTTTACTTCGCGCTTTGTGATCAGAGGTCATTCCTGGTATGTTCTGGAAGACCATGTGGAACCAGGATTGACTGCATGCCAGTTAGGTGCCTTTCCTCCATGCTCTCTCTTTAGCTCTAGAACCCCCTTTTAAGATTCTTTGGATAGGGCATGCACTGCCATGACTGCCTTGTCTAACTTTTTCAGTGTCCAGACTTTTCCTAGTTGGAGTTTGAGGCTCCTAAGCTGTCATCAACCCTAGCTGATACTTTCTTACCTTATCTCCCTAATCCCTCCACCTTTTGTATGCCAATTCTCAGAAATAAAAATCTTTTGGTCTTCCCCTACCCACCAACCTTGGATTCTATAATTGATTCTTATAGTATCAGAAAACTTTTTCTTAAAAAAAAAGGATTCTCTGGATATTTTTGGATTTTAGTGGTTGACATACCCATAAGTAAGTTAAAACCTCTACACCTAGAGGTTCTCAAGACTTACTTTTGGCTCAGTGCTCAAAATCATTGCACAGGGGACCATAAGCAGTTCCGCGGATGAAACTGGGGTAGCTACATGCAAGTCAAGCACCTTAACAACTATTGTGCTGTTTCTTCTAGCCCCTAAAATTCTCAAATTTAAAAAAAATTCTTGTATGTCAGTGGTTTTTTTTTGGGGGGGGGGTGGGGGGTGTGCAGAATATAGCGTGAGCAAGCAAGAGAATATAAGAGAAAAGAGAGAAAAAAAGTAAAATAAAAAACTAATAAAAAAATTAGCAGTGAAGACTGGGTAAAAAAAAGGTAAAAGGCCCTCCCGTTGATCATCGATTTTGCTCGAGCGGGCCCAGTAACGTCTCCATTGGAGACTTTGTTGTTACTGTGTTTGGCATATCGAATACGTCACAGGGAGCTTGCCAGGCTCTGCCGTGCGGGCGAGATACTCTCAGTAGCTTGCCGGGCTCTCCAAGAGGGGCGGAAGAATCAAACTCGGGTCGGCCATGTTGGCCGCTTGTAAGGCTGGGTAGGTGACTCAAAGGTCTGGAGGGAGGCCCAGGTTTGGAATTGGGCATTACAAGGTTCCCTGAGTACTGCTGGAAATTGCTCCTCAACACTGCAGGGTGTAGTCAAAAAGCAAAAAATCAGTTCCTAAGACTGTAGTACTAATGAAATAACCTTCATCCTGATTTTTTTGTTTATGCAGAACAAGTTAAATTTGTATTGTTATTTCATCATGTTGTAGATGTGTGTGTTAGCACCACTTTTTACAAGCTATAATTAGGTTCAAATAATGTCTCTAAGCTATGGATATTTTTTGTGCTAAATATTTTATTGTTCAAATAACTGGAATTTAAGTGGAATTTGATATTTTCCAAATTTGAAATACACTAAGTTGAAATGGGGAAGGGAGGGGAAAAAAAAATCTAAAATTGAAATTGTTTTCTTTGCTGCCATCTAGTGGTTTAAAAAGCTTAGCATAAACATAAGTAAGTTAAAATACTAAGGTTCCTTTTATATATTTTAAATGTATTTAACTTCTAAAAATTCTTAACTTAGTAAATTAGGTAAATGTAGGATTAATGTTTTTAAAATAAAATAGGTTTATTCATTGTAAGGAGAATTTGGGGAGGGAGAAAGAGAGAGGGAGAGAGACAGAGAGACAGAGAGACATTGAGAGCGAGCGAGCGAGCGAGCGAGCGAGAGAGAGAGAGAGATTCATAGATTCATTTTTTTGTGCCACACCGAGTGATGATTAGGGCTTGCACTCCTGACTCTGCACTCCGGGGTCACTCCTGGTTACAGTGCTCAGAGGTTCTATGTGGGATGCTAGGAACCAAACCCAGATTGACCATGTACAAGGCAAGTGCTCTTTCCACTGTGCTATTGCTTCAGCCCCAGAAAATACATTTTTTTTAAGAAAATCAAAGATTAGAGGATTTTTTTTTTCAAATTGGACAACCTGTGAGTTATGTCTCTGACCTGAACCATGTATGTTTTAAGTGTAAATAGATGCTTCCAGGTTACAGAAAGCATTTTAGACTCATATTTATATGTATAAACATATGTAGATGTAAACTCATATTTATGTAAACTGCTAATTTGCTTTCCTCAGTCTACTGTTTTTCCTGATGAAAAAAGTGATGTCTGAATACCTAACGCTGTGGATTCTAGCCTATCTCTTATCCTTTGTAGAATACAAAGAAAGACTGTTTAAGATAATACTGATGTCATTCAACGTGTTTTTGTTTCCTTTGATTATAGCCACTTATAGATCAAAATAAGTAAATTCCAAATGATAGTTGTATTATTTAGTCAGTGTGGCATTACTGAAAAAGTAGTCATCCCTCATATTATGGACATATATTATTTTTTTGCTTCTGTGGTCATACCCAGCTGTGCTCAGGGGTACTTCTGGCTCTGCTCTCAGGATTTATCCTAGGCTGGGGAACTATATGGGAAGTCGGGGATCAAGCCCAGGTCAGCCACATGCAAGACAATCACCCAACCTCCTATACTATCTCTTCAGTTCCATAGAGTTATAATTTTGATAGTTCAATACTTAAGCTTTTGTTTTTAGAATTTTACCTCAACATTATTAATAATAATGAACAAGTAAGAGTATAGATTAGGAGAATTCTTAACTAAAGTTCATTCTTTAATTTAATTTTTTTTTTCAATTTGGGGTCTATACCCAGCTGTGCTCAGAGGCTATTTCTTGCTCTGTGCTCAGTATTGACTCTGGGTAGTTCTGGGGAGGGAGCAACCAAATGTGCCTGAGATCGAACCAGGGTCAGCCATTTATTGACCTTGTACTTTACTCTTTACTATCTCTCTGGCCCCTGTTTTGTTTTTAAATTTTAAATAAAAGCAGTTATTTTTACTGGTGTGACTTGAATACCATGAAATCCATTATTGAGAAATCCACTGCTTATTTTAGCTTCCAGCACTGTCTATTGCTGAAACATTTTTATTAGCCCACTTAGAAACCTTGTTTGCATTAGGAGTCAGTCTGTTTCCTTTTCCTTTCAGTTCCTGTCCAATGATTTTTTCAAATTGAAGTTTGCTTTTTTTCTTGCAGAATCCAAGAAAACAAGGGCCTGAAACTCAAGGCAGTACAGCAGAGTTAATTACAGGGCTCGTCCAGCTGGTTCCTCAGTCTCACATGCCGGAGATTGCTCAGGAAGCAATGGAGGTAAAGGACAAATTAGGTCTAGGCCCTCGAAGGGACAGTTTTAACTTTGTGCATCCTTAATGTTTCTTTGGCCTTTGTGAGTGATAGATTATCATTTATAGACATAAAGACATGGACATTTATATACTGTTTCATAAACTTTGTGGACATTTACTCTGCAGACATTTATAAAGCATATAAATGTCTTGTTAATGGCATTTACTTGCTTTATGTCACATCTAAGAAAAATATTGTACACATTCTTATAATTAATAAAAGAACTCTCAGAGATTCTTGGCCAACCAGGGCAGATCCCAAAGTGTCTGAGGATCCAGTGGTGCTAGAGGGTGCTAGTGTTGCCATGGATAGAACTGGGGCCATATGCATGCCCTTCGTGCACTTTAAGCTCTATGTTAGCTTCCTAGCCCTGCAGTTCACCTATTTTTACTTTTTAATGTGCATAGGGATATAATCAAAATCATAAAGTTCATATAATCATAAGGTTCAGGATGTAAAGTGTACCAGCTAGTGATTTTTATTACATTCACAAGGTTATACAATTATAACTGCTATCTAATTTAGAACATTTGTGGTGTCTCTAACAGCCATTAATCATTTTTTTAGCTTGTTATTATTTTCTTGAAGTGCTAGGGATGGAATTCAAACCTCATTGCATGCAAGGCGTTGATTTGACCATTTAGCTCCTGTATTCCTAGCCCAATCTGTGACCTTTCATGCTGACTTCTTTCATTTAAAAGGGTTTTAACTTTTAACAATATTACAGAATTAATGTCTAATTCTTTTTTTTTTTTGTATTGTCAAGTAATACTCCATATCATGGACATACCATCCATATTATTCCCCTTTCTATTTTATTTCCAAAAAAAAAATCTGTGTTTTTATTCGCTTATACTATGGTTTAGTTGCTTTACAGTATAATGGGATTTCAAGGGTTTAATTAGTCACAATATTATGGTTTCCAGTGTTACAGTACTGCAGAGATTCCATATCATACTTATGTGTGTAATTGTCATTGCTATCTCCAATTAAGGTCCACTGTATTCTCACCCTCAAAGACCCCTTTACCTTTGGTAACTATAGTTTTTGCCAAGTTTAGTAATTGTATTTTTAATAGTATTTTTTTCTTTCATAATTTTTTTTCCTTTTGTAATTCATATTCCACATACCAGTGGAACTATCCCATAACTGTCTTCTACTTATTTCATTTAATTTAATCACTTCAAGCATAATTTCATCTTTTTAAATACAAATACGCCAAATTCCATTCATCTGTTTATCCATTAAGAGAGAAATTGCCAGATTTCATCAGTCACAAAGTGACTACATTCTTTCTTATTCCCCCTGGCAATGTAATGAGTATTTGAATATTTCCACATACTTGCCAGCACTTGTTGGCAAATAGAAGAAAAGTGCAGTTATATGTCTTTTTTTTTATTATGACTATTCTAGAGACTTTAAATGTAGTTGACTTAAAAAATTACTTGATCAGTAAAATTTTCAGTCTTACGGAGGTATAATTTTTACTTAATAAATTTGTAAGATTAGAATATTACTAGTTACCTCCCAGAAGTTCTTTAGGTACTTTTATTTAATTAAAACAATCTAAAATTTTTTAATTAAAAAATAGGAATAGGGTGCAAGAATGTGACTCAGCAGTAGAGTACATGCCACCTTGAATGTGTGATTCTCAGATCTGCAAAATACCAAAATCAAGAACATATGGCCCAGAAACAATCGATCACGGTCACGGTTCTCCCGTTATTCATCGATTTGCTCGAGTGGGCCCAGTAATAACATCTCCATCGTGAGACTTGTTGTTACTGTGTTTGGCATATCGAATACGCCATGTGGAGCTTGCCAGGCTTTGCCGTGTGGGCGAGATACTCTCTGTAGCTTGCCGGGCTCTCCGAGAGGGGCAGAGGAATCGAACTCGGGTCGGCCATGTTGGCTGCATGCAAGGCAAACGCCTTACCCGCTGTGCTACTGCTCCAGCCCAGAAACAATCAAACAAAAAAATATGAATCATACTAGTGGACTGAAGGGGGAGGGTCATGTGGTAGCAGGGATTGAACTCAGGGCATTACATGTGGTAGCCACATGCTCTACCACTTGAGCTATCTCCCTAGTACCCCTACTTATTTTTTTTTCCATCTGTTTGCACCCTTCTTTCTGTGCCAGAGATCATTGGTCTGATTTCTGTCACTGTAGTTACTCAGTTTTAGAAAAGTTCATGTGAATAGAATCTTGGGTTTTATCCCAGTTCCTCTGGTGGCTTTTTTTCAGCAAGTTTTTGAGATTTGCTATGCATTAGTTCCTTTAAAAAATACTCTGCTATACAATACAATGATGATTATATCACTGTTTACTTCTTAATGATCACATGGGTGAATATATCCATCACTGCCAAAAATTTTCTTGTGTTCTTTCATATTATCTCCACCCCTTTATTACTCGCTGTCCAATTCATTGCAACTACTTATTTGCTTCCTATTGTTATAGATTGGTTACCTGTATGTAAGTGGATTTATGAAGTAGCTTGTTGTCTTCCCTAAGTAACAAAATCATGGTATTCGTCTATGTTGTAGCATATATTAGTAGCTCACTTAAAAACATTCCTTTGTTATAGTTCTGTTCCATTTGTGCATGCATTTACCTGATGATGGACATTATTTCTAGTTTGGGTTCTTAAAAATATAGTTTCTGATTTTTAAGTAAAACTTACAGATAAAGGTACAAGTCTTGTGTGTAGACATGCTTTAATTTCTCAGGAAAACACAAAAAGAAGGGCAAAAATCTTATTGTGTAAACACACAAAAATGGATGGGCGAAGGGACAGCAGCAGCCTGTCTCTCCCGCCGCCCGCCTTCGGTAGTCTCAGGCCATTTCCCCACTCCAGGGAGGTCGATGGTGATGGTCACGAGAAGGAAGGAAACGAGGGCCAGACTGGTTGGTCTTAGCAGCAGTTTATTACATGGAAGAAGTGTATGTCATAGAGGCCCCAGGATCTCTCAAGCACGCACTCACTAGTTCTCTCAGCTTCTGTCCCCATTCTCTCAGGCACGTGTTCCCCCAGAGAGCCCTGAAATCTCCCTTATATAGATCATGGTACCTGTAAAGGGCGCACTACAGTGATGTCATCAAAAGGAGTTACAGAAAGAACATTGAGGCAGCAAAACATACATTGTTTCTTTACATCTGCAGGCCAGAATTTTGGCCTCTGGTAAGAAGATACAAAACCAAGACTGAAACCTTTCACAAGCACTTGGATTTGCATCCCAAAGACCAGTCTGCTAGGGCTTGGAATCTACATCCCAAAGACAAGTATCTGAGCTTTGTATCCCAAAGACTAGCCTGCCTAGAGCTGGGAATATATATCCCAAAGATCAGGCCTGGCTGGCACCTGAGGTTACTGAGAGAAAAGGGAAACTGCCTCTTACAATATACTGAAATTATTTACTGAAGGCAGCTGAAGGGGAGAAATGTTCAGTCTCATCCAAGCTAGTCAGGACACACAGGAAAGCTGCTTCTAGGACAGATTCTCATTTCGCAGATCAATCCACACTAGAACAGAATTCCCTGGGTGTGTTTCTCCTCTCCTTGTCTAACCAACATATAAGCATACATAATATAAATCATTTTATATGGACACAGTAAGAAATACTTTAAGCTTATAGAATTGCTCTCCTAGGCCATCTCAATCTTAGACTGCAGTGCTCAGGCCAGATATCTTTCCTATTCATAGAAGGGTCCTAGTCTCATCGTTACTTTTGTATCATAACAGCATTTGCCTATGATCAAACTCTTAACCTATAGTTAAGAATCGTGGCACCTTGGCCTGGCCCATCTCAATGCCAGGGTAGCCCATAACTTACTGGCTTGCCCTGGTTCCATCCAGTCACTCATTGGGACCCTGCCCTTGGGGTGCTAGGAAGTGAGGGCAACTGAGGCTTAAGTTGAGAAAGCAGATGCTCGGGAGTGAATAATATTCAAAGCCAATTAAGTCCTAAGATATAAAGCATAATATTAATTGTCTTCCTGTATCTATACAAAAAGGACATTGCATTAAACTATTCAAAAGACATAAGGAGAGGAGAAAGGCAATATTAACTTACAATACAAGTTCAGTGTCCTAGAAGAATCCAACCTTACAAATTGGTTGGGGAAGAGAGCACAAAGAAGTAGTTACAGACAAAGTAATGAGAATGACTCGGGAGCACTGTGATGGGTGCAACCTGAGAGACCTAAGATCTTTGTACTCCAACATCTTACCCTTTTGTTTATTACAGACACAGCTTAATATAAGGATATTAGAATGCAAACAGGTTAGGGATGGAAAAATATTCCATATAAACACTAATGAAAAAACTTGCTTAAGATACAGATATGATAATAAACAATAGGCGTAATTGGAAATAAAGAAGAATATCTTATTATAAATACATGGTCTTTCCATAAAACAAAGCAATCCTAATCTAAAAACAAGTCAAAATAAATATTAATATAATTACAAGGATAAATAGAAAAATTCCATCATGAATATTTGAGCATACTTTTCTTGGTGTATGATAGAATTAAATCAGTGAAGTTATGAGAAGGGTAGAGGGACTGGGGTTGATTCTTTTTCTTTCGTTTCTTTGTTGTTTGCTTGTTTTGTTTTGGCTTTGGGGCCCCATGTGGCTTGCTCAGGGGTTACTCCTGACTCTACACTCAGGAATTACTCCTGGCAGATCTGGGGACTCTGTGGGATGCCAGAGATCAAACCCTGGTCTACCTTGTGCAAGGCAAGTACCCTACCTGCTGTACTGTGACTCCAGCCCCGGGGGGATGGGGAGGGTGGGAGGCTGTCACTCAGGTGTTTGAGCATGAGAATCCAGGTTAGATCCCTGGCACTAGGCCTCTAAGCAGTTCTGTGTGTTATCAAATGCTGTTCGGTCTGAACACCGCAGGACCTGGCCCTTATGGCAATTTTAACCTTTAAAAGACTATACTGGGGGCTAGAGTGATAGCACAGTGGATAAGGCATTTGCCTTGCACTCAGCCAACCCAGGTTTGATTCCCAGCATCCCATATGGTCCCCTGATCACCACCAGGAGTAATTTCTGAGTGCATGAGCCAGGAGTAACCCTTAGCAATGTTGGTTATGACCCAAAAAGCAAAAAAAAAAAAAAAGATTATTTAAAAAAAGACTATACTACATGTAATAAGTGCACTTTCTTCTCAAGTATACACAAACCATTCACTATATCCTCAGCAAGAAGCAAGTCCCAAAATTCTAAAGAATTGAAATCATTTGGATTTTTTCTTTTGTGTGTGTGACTCCAGTGGAATCAAAAGCAAGAGATCAGAACAAACCTTTATGAAATAGCAAATGATTGTATTATATTTTTATTCCATATTCTGCTAGCAGGAATGCAAATTACTATAGCTTCCATTAAAAATTGAGCAGGGCTGGAGAGATAGTACAATGGGTACAGTGCTAGCCTTGGACATGGCCAACCAGACTCCCTAGGACCCTGCCAGGAGTGATCCCTGAGCATAGAGCCAGGAGTAAGCTCTGAGCATAGCTGGGTGTGGCCCCCAAACCAAAAATAACTAAAAATTGTTTGAGGGCTGGTAGAGAGCAGGTAAGGCACTTGCCTTGCATGTGACTTGCCTGGTACCACATATTGTTTCCTGAGCAAAGAGCCAGGAGTAGGCATTGAGCTCTTCTGTGTATTGGCCCCCAAACAGACAAAAATATTATTTCACAGGGACCAGAGAGCTAGAGCAAAATAAATCTAGATAAATTTAGTAAAATTAATTTATACACAAATTTAGATATATTCAATTGCTTTGCATGTGACTGATGCTGTTTTGAATCCCCAGCTCCACATATGGTCCCTGAGCCCTGAGCCAGAACTAGCCCCTGTGAACTACTTGGCATGGCTCCTCCCACCAAACCACCAAACTTTTGCAATATCTGATAGAGCTAAATGTAGACTTAGCAGTTCCGTTCCTCGTTTTGTGTCCAGTAGAAATGCGTATTTACACACATAAAAATATTCAAAGCATAATTTGAAGTAGTGAGAAACTAGAAACAAAGTAAATGTACCAATGACAGATTACATAAATTTAGATATGTTTGCTCCATTGATTAATATGTAACAATGGAAAAGGAATGAGCCACTACTTTGAATTCAAAGAAAGGGTGATTTGCACATAGTGTTGAGTGAACATTGATACAAGAATATGATTCCAGCTAGAGAGGTAGCACATAGGTAAGATGACTACCTTTCACTTGGCTGACCTAGATTTAATTCTTCAGTATCACATATGATACCCTAAGCCCCACAAAATTTTTTCATTGTTTTTGGGGCAGTGCTCAGGATTTACTCCTTGCTCTGCACTCAGGAATCACTCCTGGCAGTGTTCGGGGGACTATGTGGAATGCTGGAGATCAAACTCAGGTTGGTTGCGTGCAAGGCAAGCACTTTATCACCTGTACTATCTAGCCCCAGGCTGCATATTTTTTTATTGCATATTTATAATACATGGTTGCTTGGGAGACTGTACACTGTACACTCTGCTGTTTTGCTGGGAGTCCCAAATAGCAGGGATGCTGTTAATATGCTTATTGCATGTATGCACCCTTGGGGATCAGACCTGCAGGTTCATTCTTGCAAGAAAGAAGCTGTTTGCTACTGAATCATCCCCCAGGTCCCCTTCCCTTTTTCTGGTTATTGAAAAATAATTAATCTTTCTGTTCAAAAAGAATTCATGTCAGACAAGGTAACTCCTTTTTCTTCTGACCTAGAAGAAAAAAATTGTTATGAGTATCGATTTTGGTGAGTTCTCTTTACTTGGGGATTTATTTCATGTTCTTTGGAATTCTGATAATTTTATGAAGCAGTTTTTATATGTATACATACTGCTACTCTGAGTTTGTTAGTTATTTAACTTTATGTATATACGTCACTTAAAATAAGAATGCTAGGAATAAAGTTGTTCATTTTATGTACCTGTTCCAAAATATCTGGGTTCTCCAGAAATTTTCTCTTATGCCTTATTCTGTAAGCTGAAGCTATAATTTAAAGTTCAATTTGTTAGCAATTGTAAAACAAATACTCCTGTGTTACATTAACTTAAAAATGTTAAATCTCTTCTTTTAAAACTTAAGGCTCTGCTGGTTCTTCATCAGTTAGATAGCATTGATTTGTGGAATCCTGATGCGCCTGTAGAAACATTTTGGGAAATCAGGTATATATTCTTCAATTTTAAAATTCATTTGAGATACTCTTTTAATTTTTTGTCTTTAATAACTTGCTTTACAGTACTTATTTTATTGCGAAGCTTTATTAATACTTTCAGAAGTTTTATGATCTTTTATTTTAATTGACATAAAATTATTAATCAAAGTATTTATTGTTCCCACTAAAAGCACTGTAGCACCGTCCTCCCGTTGTTCATCGATTTGATCAAGCGGTCCCAGTAACATCTCCATCGTGAGACTTGTTGTTACTGTGTTTGGCATATCAAATACGTCACAGGTAGCTTGCCAGGCTTTGCCCCACTAAAAGAATGCACAGCAATTTAGAAAACATTTTTATATTGTGCTATATGTTATTACTCAACCATAGAGTACTGTTAATTGTTGTATTATCTTATATATCATGTTTCTGTGTATTACAACTGTATTTTTAAGAGTGTTAAAGTTGCTGGGGTAGGGCTATAGTACAGTGGGTAGGGTGTTTGCCTTGCATGTGGCGGACCCAGATTTGATCCCCAGCATCCCATAAGGGTCCCCTGAGCACCAGCAGGAGTGATTCCTGAATGCAGAGCCAGGAGTAACCCCTGAGCATTGCTGGATGTGACCCAAAAAGCCCCTCTCCTCCCAAAAAAAAAAGAAGTGTTAAAGTTGTAAGCACAGACTATTCAAATTCTCTAGCAGTAATAATTCAAGGATTTTTAAAACTATAATCATTCATTAGATTTTTTTTATAATACTAGAGTTTTAGAGAGTAAATTTGTCATGTCTGAACTGAAAGTGAAAATGTATGTGGAGATTAATATATTTCCTAAATTATTTAATAAAGTATTATCTTTTAATGGGCCCAAAGGCACAATACATTGAAGAAAGTATAAATGTGTAAACCTCAAGTTTTGTCATTATGTTATGAGAACTGATCCATGAATTAACCTGTAGCTAAGTTAAGTATTCACTCTGGTAGGAGCCAGAGTGATAGGACAGTGGTTAAGGTGCTTGTCTTGCAATGCGGCTGATCTCGGTTCAGTCCCTGCTACCCCAGAGGGCCCCAGAGCCCAGGCAGGAGTGATCTCTGATACTGGCGTGATGGGGTTGACGTCTGAGGTCGGAAAAACTGTACACATGGAATTTGATCATAGCTGACTGTAAAGTTGGGTGCTATGAATAACTTTGTAAATGTACAGTACCTCAATAAAAAAAATTTTTAAAGTATTCACTGGTAGTAAAGTACTATAAACCACAGATATAACTTAAAATTTTCTAGTTTCCAAATAGAAAGGTAAGAACAGGTAAACTTAACTTTAATAATGTTTGAACTTTGTTATATCTAATCCAGTATATCTAGTATATTATTTTACCACTTAATCAATAGACAACATACTAATAGTATATTTTTTCTAGTCTTTAAGTTTTGGTGAATTTTACAGTTCTGTTGTAGCTCAGTTGGGACAGGGCACACTTCATGACTGTGCAGCACTAGAATTAGCAGTCAGTAAATATTTAGGTGTTGTGGGTCAGGTGGTCTGGAATAACAGCAGAACCCTGCTGTTGGAGCATGAAAGCAGCAGCCTTAGATAATATATAAATGAGTATGTGTGGCTGTGTTCCACTAAAATTTTATTTGCAAAAGTAAATGATGAGTTATGTTTGGCCTGTGGGCAGTTTCATGTAGACCTTCGCTGTATAAGCACTGAGTTTGTAAACAAACCAAATAGCACTTAGATTAGCACTGTCATTTTTTTCCTTTACAAAGGTGAGATGTATGAAGGAAACTATTGGGAGTGTGGGGAGTAAGGAACTTAATAGTACTTACTTTTTTTATAAAAAAATATATTCTGTAGACTTAATTCATACTTCATTTGATTATCAAATCTAAAGAGTAAAATAAGTTTTCTCCAAACTTGTTTCCATTCTGAAAAAATGCTTTTTAAACGTATTGATTATATATGTACTGGTTTATTTATTGGCAGTGCTGGTAACAATGAGCTTTCTGTTACTGCAGCTCACAAATGCTCTTTTATATCTGCAAGAAATTAACTAGCCATCAAATGCTTAGTAGCACAGAAATTCTTAAATGGTTACGGGAAATTTTGATCTGCAGGAATAAATTTCTCCTTAAGAATAAGGTAAGCACCAAGACCATACATGTCAACTTTATTGTAAACACATTACCTTAACTATAATAGCACTGTAGCACGGTCCTCCCATTGTTCATTAATTTGTTCAAGCAGGCCCAGTAACATCTCCAGTGTGAGACTTTGTTGTTACTGTGTTTGGCATATTGAATAAGTCACGGGTAGCTTGCCGTGTGAGCGATATACTCTCAGTAACTTGTGGGCTCTCTCCAAGAGGGGCAGGGGAATCAAACTCAGTTTGGCCGGGTCGGCTGTGTGCAAGAACGTCCTACCTGCTGTGCTATTGCTCCAGTCTAACTATAATAAATTTAAAAAAATAAGAAGAATAATTAAGCAAAATGGTATCTTTAAAAATAAAAGAATATTTGGGGGGCTGGAGCAATAGTACAGGAAGCAGGGTGTTTGTCTTACACTCAGCCAACCTGGGTTTAATTCCCAGCATCCCATATGACCCCCTGAGCACCTCCAGGAGTAGTTCCTGCGTGCAAAGCCAGGAGTAACTCCTGTGCATTGCCAGGTGTGACCCCCTATTCCCCCCCCAAAAAAGAATATTTGGAATAGTAATAGGGTGAGATGAAGAAGGTATTTATCAGCCAAATTAGACTCCTTGGCCTTCTTCGTCTTAGAAGATTCTCCAGGGAAATATAGGTGCAAAAGACATACTGATAAATGACCATTTATTTGTTGGTTTATTAACTTATTTTATTTGTTTTTTGTTTTTTTTTAGAATTTTTAATTTTTATTTTTATTTTCATTTTTTATAATTTTATTTATTGACTCACTATGAGAGCAGTTACAAAGCTTTCGGGTCTAAGTCTTGGTCATACAATGAAACACCTATACCTTCACCAGTGCCCATTCTCCACTACCAAAAACCCCAGTATATCCCCATCCAACACCCTCCCTTACCTGTGGGGCAGATGATTTCCACTTTACTCTCTCTCTACTTTGATCACATTCAATATTTCAACACCAGACCCACCATTATTATTTGAGATTTTACCCAACACTCAGATCTGCTGAAAAGGCAACAGTAGACAATTTGTATTCTGTTGCTGGTATTAACTTATTTTAATGGCCAGATTCAGAGAGCTCAGGGAACCTAGGACTATTCATGGGCAAGTGGTTCTGCAGAGCCTGGGGGACACCCAAGTTCACACCTCTGGTGCTGGGGGCAGGGTGTTGTATGGTGTGGGAAATGAGCTCACAGTCTTTCCCATTCTAGGCAGATGTTCTGCCACTTGAACTGTTTCTCTAGTCTGGATCTATAAATAAATAACATTTATTTAGTTATTTTTTAGGCCACACCTGGTGGTGCTGAGGATCTTTGCGGACATACGGGGTGCCAGGGATCCAATCCTAGTCGACCACTTACACAGCAAATGCCCTACCCACTGTAACTTTTTTCCGGCCCCTAAAAATTAACATTTAAAAAATTATCATGAAAGACTTGCCTTGCGTTTTGTTACCCTGGGTTTGATCAAAAGCATTCCAACAACAAATTATTTGAAGACTTTGATCTTAAGGTCACTATTCCAAGAAACTCTAATTATGTAACCAGGCTTCTCTAGAAGGCCTAGGAGAAATGGGGTTGGTATAATCAAAGTAGCTAACATATTTTCTCTTCTCAAGTTTATTTATGTGAGTTGGGTCTTAGACCATTTCAAAGAATGATATTAATCAAGAAATGGAAGAGAAGAGACTGAAAATCCAGTCTAGATTTATTTTATTTCTCTTATAAAGATTTTACTTCTTGGGACTCCAGTGGTAAAGCATAAGTGATATAAAGACCCCTGCCTATGTGAGGTCCTGGTTTTGATCCCCGATACTGCATGCCCACACCCCAGCACAGAGGGACTCAACCCCAAGCACTATCAGGTATAACCCCACAACATTAAAAGAAATAGACCACACTTGAAAAAAAAATAAGGTGTTTTCCTCCTTAGGGTGAGTAAAAATTTTGATTCTGAACTTTCATTTTTCTTCTCATTTACTATTTTTTAAAACTTTTTTGTTTGGGGGTCACACCTGGCTCGTTGCTCAGTGCTTACCGATGGCTCTTTGCTCAGAGATCACACCTGGTAATGCTCAGGGAACCATATAAGGTACTAGGGATTGAACTTGAGCCAGCCATATGCAATGCAAATGCCTTACCCACTATACTATTTTTCTGGCCGCTGAAAGATAATAAAACATACTGAGGAGGAGGTTGTGGGGAATAGAAGAGAACCATTAAGTTCCTATTAACATAAAATTTCTGTAATTAGGCCATTAAAATTTTTTTCAGCACTGGAGGATAGTACAGGAGCTAAAGCACTTGTCTTGTATGCAGCTGTGATGATCATGACACTGGTTTCAATCCCCAGCTTCTGAATCTATGGTGGTCACTTCTGAACACAGAACTGGGAATAGGGGAATAGTTCCTGACTACTACTCAATGTGGGCCTCTGCAGTCCCCCTAGTCCCGCCCTTCTATATGGCATATATTTGGGAGAGTTGATCTAATGAATTTTACCCATTTATAAAATCAAAAATTTTAAATGTGTCAAATTCATGTTTCTTGGTGTATATGCAACTTGTTGAATTTTCTTTGTTTAGAAATGAATTGAGTTGGGTTTATTCACACCTGACTTATCTTGGAATTTGGCATCATTGAAAAATAGAGATTAGACTCTGGAGTTCCATACTTGTAACTTTATGATACAGTTATCCAGTGTATAAGCATTAGTTTGTCAGTAATGAATTTGTAGTACTCTGCTCAGCAAAATCTCTTTTGCACTTGGCATGCTGTGTTAATTTTGGATCCAGAGAAATTTTATCTCAAAGGAGTAAACTTCCAGTAAACCTGAACAAAATCTGATGGTAGAAAATTTGTTATTTGTAATTATCTGAAAATTAAATGATATTTTTTAATCTAGTAGATTTTTGTTGATGTTTTGCTTGTGTTAATTCATGTTTTTGGAATTTGTTATTTCTGATGATTTGAAGGGTGAAAAGCTAGAGGAATTTGAAAGATGTTAAGCAAACATTAGCTGTACTAATGTTTAGTACTATTGTTCTAAACTGGGTTTCTAATGAATAGTGAACTTCCAGTTAAGGTGAGGGATAGAAGTTGGGAGGAAACATTATCTATGATAATCTCAAGAGGACAAGTTATACAAAGCATTTATTTCTCTTGGTTTTTTAGTGTCTTGGTAAGGTTTTCTTGTTTCCTTTTTTTATAGCAGGCAGATAGAAGTTCCTGTCATTTTCATTTCCTCTGTGGGGTTGGATGTGATATTCCTTCAAGTGGCGCTACTACTCAGATGTCCATGGACCATGAAGATTTCCTGCGTACTTGTACTCCTGGAGCCTCTCTCCGAAAAGGAAAAGGAAATTTATCCGTTGTAAGCAGCGTCTTTGATAATTTTTCCTGTATTACTATCATGTTCTCTGTTATTTTCTGAATGAAAATTGGTAATTTCACCTACATATTACAGCACAACAAAGAATTGTTTGGACTGCAGTTCTGTCACTGCTCTGTGAAACCTTGGGCAAATTCCTAACATCTTTGTATCTCAGTTCTCAACTTAAAATAAGTATGATTCTTGTCCCAAAATTATTGTCAATGATCTCATATATAAACAGCACTTAATCAAGTACTTAGCTCTTGAAGTTATAACCTGGAGCTGTAATTACTATAAAGCTCTGCCCCATGAGAAAGACTTCATAAACTCTAAAAGTATAAAATTTGTAACAACTGGGACCAGAGAGATAGCACAATGGTGAGATACTTGCCTTGCATGTGCTTGACCTAGGCTTGATCCCCGGTACCGTATATTGGCCCCTCCGGCCTCACCAGGAGTCAGCCCTGAGTACAGAACCAGGAATAAGTCCTGAACACAGCTGGTGTGGCCCTAAAACACACACAAAACAGAACCAAAAAGTTGCAACAACTAATGAGAGAGGGGAAAAAATGTATTATTTGATATTATCGAGAAGTGTGTCTGTGATATTTGCTTATGTACCTTGCTCCTTTTAAAGATAAACTATATGGACCAGAAAGATAGTACAATGGATAGGGTGCTTGCCTTATACATTACCAACCCATGTTTGATCCCTGGTATCCTGTAGCGTGCCAGGATTGATTTCTGAGTGCAGAACCAAGAATAATCCCTGAGCACAGCTGGGTGTGGTCCCCAAACCAGACTAAATAAGTAGCACTGTAGCACTGTCCTCGCATTGTTTATCGATTTGCTCGAGTAGGCACCAGTAACATCTCACAACAAATTGTGAGACTTGTTACTGTTTTGGGCATATCAAATATGTCACGGGTAGCTTGCCAGGCTTTGCTGTGCAGGCGGGATACTCTCGGTAGCTTGCTGGACTCTCCGAGAGAGGTGGAGGAATCGAACCCCGGTCAGCTGTGTGCAAGGCCCTACCCGCTGTGCTATCACTCCAGCCCAAATAAATAAATCATTAAAAAATGAAAAACTAGGGGCTAGAGAGTTAGTACAGTGGGTAGGGTGCTTGCTTTTCGTGTGACTGACCTGTTTGATCCCTGGTACCATATAATGCATTCCCAGACCTCACCAGGAATGATCCCTCAGCACAGAACCAGGATTAAGCCCTGAACATAACCAGGTGCAGCCAGAACCCCTCCAAAACTTCAAAAAGCTGTAGTATAAATGAAATTATTAAACCTTCATAGAAGCATTTCTTTTACTGGAAAGGGTTTTATCTAAATTCCTAATTTTCAGTGTGAACTAATACAGGTTCAAATTGCTAGATTTCCTAATTTTCAGTTTGAACTAGTATAGGTTATTGCATACAGATATTTATTATTACTAGTTTTTTGCATTGTTGGGCTTTATCTCACCTAGGTTACATATTATCTACCTCCTATTCTGACTTTAGGATAGTGCAGCAGGGTGTAGTGGTACACCACCGATATGTCGGCAAGCCCAGACCAAACTAGAAGTGGCCCTCTACATGTTTCTATGGAGCCCTGACACTGAAGCTGTTCTGGTGGCTATGTCCTGCTTCCGCCACCTCTGTGAGGAAGCAGATATCCGGTGTGGAGTGGATGAAGTGTCAGTGCACAACTTTTTACCCAACTATAACACGTTTATGGAGTTTGCCTCTGTCAGCAATATGATGTCAACAGGTAAGTTTTTATTCAGTCTGCCTTGAATCACATGGCTTCTGGTTGTGCTAGGAATATAGAAATATATTCAATATTGTTTCTTTGTAAGTTAACTTAGAGTAACTTTCCTGAAATCCTTCTCTGCAGCCAAAATAAAAATAAATAATATTTGAAATAAATTCACTGAAATTTTAATATGCTGTACCATTGTGGGGAAAAAATGGCAGTGTAAATTGCTGTCACTTACAAGATTCTGTTGTTTGTTGTGTTTCATACACATTATGTGAAGTTTCATACACATTAGTACATTGGGTTGGGGGAACTTGTGTGTGTGTTTAGGCTACACCTGGCGGTGCTCAGGATTCACCACTGGCAGGCAAGGCAACATCTTAACCCTGCACTCTCTCTCTGACTTCCATCACGTTAGTATATGTTTTGAATAAATATAGGTGGGAGTAGCTATTTTATGATTCTGGCATTATGGAATGGGAGGAAGAAAGCTCTATCATTTCTTGCTGTATTTGTTCCACTCCTACTCTGCCTGTTGGCTTGGGCTTGTCAGGTTCTCCGCTGGCAAGGACTCTACATGCATTAAATTGGTTTGTTACTGTCTTTTCTTAGGAAGAGCAGCACTTCAGAAAAGAGTGATGGCACTATTAAGGCGCATCGAGCATCCCACTGCAGGAAATACTGAGGTATGGCCTAAGCAGCAGAAATACTCCTTCCTGCTTTCACCCTAAGCTTAATTTATTTATTTAGGTTCAGACTTGCTGCTTACAGGGCTCCTGGTGGTTCCTGGGGAACCCACACATTCTGCCTGTGCTACTGCCCTTTGAGATCTCCCCATAATTTTATTTAATTTTTCCCCACTTTAAACATCGTGGTTTACAAGGTTGTCTGTGATGCTTTTGTTATAGACATTCACTCTGACCTTCCCTTTACATTGTCCCCATTTTCACAACTACCTCTCAAGCTTGCCCTCATAGAAGGCCCAAAATCATTTATTTCGTGTTTCTTGTTATCTTCTAAATGACTTAATGAAATTATCAAAAAATATTTAAATAAAAAATTGTGAAAATTGTTATTTCTCACGATGTGGACAGTAAGTCTTTGAGAGTTTACTAAGCTGTTGTTCCTCGTTGGGCCTTCTGTGTTAATGTTTTTGTTAATTGGACTTGGTTGGCTTCTATGTTACATTCCCATCCAATCTGGTGTGCTGCTACTGGGATATTAGTGTTGTAAAGTTTGGAGATGTCGTGTGGCTATACACTGCAGAAAATCCAGAATATTTAGCTGGGCAGCTTACATGGAAGCACTTGTAGAATGTGGGTGTGGCTGCCAGGCTCCCAATTTTAGAGCCTCTATTATATATATGACCAGGTATAGCTTTTTAATTACAAGTAGTATGTTATTATATTAACAATATACACCAAGTTTGAAACATGTCAATCATTTTTATTTATTTTTTGCTTGTCTTGGGGTCACTCCTGGCAGTGCTCAGGGGACCATATGGGATACCAACAATTAAACACAGGTCGGCTGCATGCAAAGCAAGCACCTTACCCACCCTTACTATCTTCTCTGACCCCAAACATGTCTATTATTAAACGGTTTTATAATCTAGGTTTATTTTAAAGTTGCTTTCAAATGATAATTGCTTTCATTTTAGGCTTGGGAAGATACACATGCAAAGTGGGAACAAGCTACAAAATTAATCCTCAACTATCCAAAAGCCAAAATGGAAGATGGCCAGGTAAGTTTGTAAAGTTAAATTTGTTTGTTTTTTAATCTGCTTAAATGTTTGTACTTCAGTAGTTGTGGGTTTCGTTTTTGTTTTGTTTTTAAGTTCTTGTTTGTGGTTTTTTTGGTGTGTATGGTGCTGGGATTTCAGCCCAGAACCTTGCACATGTGTGTGCTGTACCACTAATCTACACCCCTGCCATTCAGTACATTTTTTTAAAGCAGGGAGGACAGTGGTGTTTGGGCCATATACAGCTATATCTAATGGTCACTCCTGGGTGTGTGTTCAGGGGTCATTCCTGGCAGTGCTCAAGGGAACATAAGCAGTACAAGGGACCGAACTGGGTTTGGCTGCATGTAAGGCAAGTGCTTAACCTCTGTACTATCTCTCTAGTCCAATACCTTAAGTTATTGAAGTTAGCTCTAGATACAATAATTATAATTGTAATAAGATTGATATTTAGTTACGATTCATATAAATTTCTGCACCACCTTATATGGTAGACGGTTATTACATTTCAGTTTTAACTGAATTAAAATTAAATGTAATTTATTTTTAGTAATAGCATAGCCATACATGGGTCTTAGCTTTTATACTGGACAACACAGATAAGGTTATTCCCATCCCATTATTGCAGAAATGCTGAACAGCACTAAACTTTATCTTCTTTAGTTTTTTTTCCTTTTTGGGGGGGGGGGTCAGAGGATTTTACAGAATGTTTAGAAAGGGATAGAAAAGAATCAATTGAAAACATTTTGTCATTTCATTATCTGTGTAATTAAAGGATCTCATGGGCAGGGGATTAGATTTTCAGTTAAATAAAATGTAGATATTTTGACTGGAGAGAATACAGGGTGAAAAATACTTGCCTTGTTTGCAGCCTCACCCTGGTTTTATCCCCAGCACCATGTGATACCCTGAGCCTTGGAGTAGTTGACAGTACTGCTGAGTATGACCCAAAAACCAAAAAAGAGAAATTTAAGCATTTGGACATTTCATTTAACAACTACTATTTATTACCCAGAAATGAACAATTAATTAAATTATCTGTGTGTATGTGTACACACATAACTGTTTATTGTCATGCTGTTTTTATTATTTGGTGCTTTAGAAACTCAGTTAAACTCCCACTGATTTTTGTTTCTTGTTATGCTTAATTAGAACAACAACAACAAAATGATGTTGTACCAGGTTGGCCGAGTCTCTCTATGAGTGGACCCCTGGCTTCCTGAACATGCTTGAGAGGGTCCAAAATAAACAAAATAAACAAAGACACACATCCTCATAATCTATGAGTCTCTTGTGTTTCCTGTTTTCTTCCCTCTACCTACTGCTTAAAGCCCTAAAGAACACTGTTCTTCTTTCTGCCTTGGTAGATTTGCCAGTTCTGGTCATTTCATATAAGTGGAACAAGGCAATTTGTAGTCTTCTGTGACTGGTTTCTTTTACTAGACACAATACTTGTAAGGTTCATTCCTATAAATCATTAGTCTCAAGATGTAGTTTAGCCTGTGTCTCATTGAACTCTCCAGGTTTAATCCCTGGCATTGCAGGGAGGGAAAAAAAAGTTTTAAAAAAGAAATTAAGTATTTGGGGTTGTGCTCTCTCTCTCTCTCTCTCTCTCTCTCTCTCTCTCTCTCATCTCTCTCTTGCCTCTCTTACCGCTCTTTCTGTACTCTCTCTCTCCCCCTCTCTCCCTCCCTCTGTTTCTCCTCTTCCTCACCCCCTCCGTCCCTCCCTCTCCATCTCCTCCTCTCCTTTCTCCTTTTTATAAAATATTTATGGTTGTATGTTTGGGGCCAGAGAGAGGACAGGCACTTATCTTGCATGCAGCTGATTCCAGTTCAATCCCTGGCGTCTCATGGTTCCTGAGCACCTCCAATTGTGACCCAGAACAGACCAAAAAAAAAAAAAAGAGAAGTGAGTGTGTGTGTGTGTGTGTGTGTGTGTGTGTGTGTGTGTAGAGATTGGTGTTGAAACATTGTATGTTTGGTGCCTGTAACCCAATCATGAATAACTTTGTAATTCATGGTGAATAAATCAAATTTTTAAAAAGTCTCTTAAAAATTTATTTGGCAGGCTTAACTTTGTATGCTTTTGTCATGGAAGAAGTTCTAGATTAAGAAGTAGTTTGTCAACAGGCTGGGGAAATTGAATAGTGGGTAGAGAGCTTGCCTTGCACAGGACTGGCCCAGTCCTGACTTGCACGGTTCAGTCCCCGGCATCCTCTTTGGACCTCCTGAGTCCTACAGGGAGTGAGCCCAGAGTGCAGAGCCAGAAATAAGCCCTCAGCACTGCTGGATATGACCCCAAAACAAAAAGTAATCTGTCAAGTGTGCAAACCAATTAAGGTTGAATGAATGTTTTCGCTAATCATTTTGTTTCTAGACTCCTGATAGTCTTCACAAGACCATTGTTAAGAGGCGAATGTCTCATGTGAGCGGAGGAGGATCCATAGATCTGTCTGACGCTGACTCCTTACAGGAGTGGATCAACATGACTGGCTTCCTTTGTGCTCTTGGGGGAGTATGCCTACAGCAGAGAAGCAATTCTGGACTGGCAACCTATAGCCCACCCATGGGCCCAGTCAGCGAACGAAAAGGTTCAATGATTTCGGTAATGTCCTCAGAAGGAAATGCAGATACACCTGTCAGCAAATTTATGGATCGGCTCCTATCCTTGATGGTTTGTAACCATGAGAAAGTAGGACTGCAGATACGGACAAATGTCAAGGATCTGGTGGGTCTAGAACTGAGTCCTGCTCTTTATCCAATGCTGTTTAACAAATTGAAGAATACCATCAGCAAGTTTTTTGACTCGCAAGGACAGGTAAAGTGTTAATTTTTTTTTCCTCCACACTTAATGTGAATTGTTTGAAGTTATTAAGCCCTTTTCTTTTGGCATTTTTTTCTTTTGATTTTTTAATTAGTTATTGGCATGAACATTTACTCAAAAAATTTTAATGCAAAACAAATCATTTATTATAAGAATCAACTTGCTTTTTAGAACATGGGTGCATGGGTATGTTTGGGATTATGAGTGTATTGGGTATGGATATGTGTGTTGATGTGGCTATGTGCTTGTGTGGATATTTACCTGTGAGTGCATTTTTACATATGTGAACATCTAAACCTGGAAGTTTCAACATCTGATTGCTATGTATTGATTATAGAATGTATGTTGTTCTTTGTGTAGGTTTTACTGACTGACACCAATACTCAATTTGTAGAGCAAACCATAGCTATAATGAAGAACTTACTAGATAATCATACTGAAGGCAGCTCTGAACATCTAGGGCAAGCTAGCATTGAAACAATGATGTTAAATTTGGTCAGGTAAGCACTATACCAAAAGTTTGTAGAAATACGTTGGCATTGGTAGTTGTTAGTGAAATGATTTGCTCTCCGTTTCTTCATTGCATCCAAATTAATGTGTGACAATAAGCTATAATCTATGTTCTCATATGAGTAAAATCTTAAATTTTGTAGTTATATTTAACCATTTTACTTAGAGATTAAAGCATTTAGAAAATCTTCTCTTTTATTTATGTATTTTTTTAATGTTTCTATAAATAGATATGTTCGTGTGCTTGGAAATCTGGTCCATGCAATTCAGATAAAAACAAAACTGTGTCAGTTAGTTGAGGTAATGATGGCAAGGAGGGATGACCTTTCATTTTGTCAAGAAATGAAATTTAGGTGAGTTTTCAAAAAAATAAATTGGGGGCTTCTGAGTATTATTTCATATTTTACTACATAATTATCACAGATTTTATGCCAAAGTTTTGCTTTGCAAAAATGTGATGTGTGAACTTTTATTTTTAAGGAGCTGGTCTTAAAATAATTTATTATTAAACTGTCCCTGATTGTGTGATGAAAGGGTATAAACCAATTTTGAACTAAAAAAACCAGGTTATGACAATTAAAGGTGAAATATAGATGTGTTGAATCAAATATAAAACTATAGTTGATACTTGGCTGTTACAGGAAGTGGGGAAGTGGAAAGAAATATTTTACATGTTATTCTTTCATGTCTTCTCAAATTTCCAAAGGCTTTTTTCCCCATGATAATGCTCCTTTAAATACAGTGATTGTGTTTAAATTGTGTTTCACACAATACTGCAATTTGTGTGAATTAAGTCACATTCTACTGTGAGCAGTTGGTGGTACATGCTAGTGTCAGTGTGTTGAAAATTAATGATACTGATCTAGGGAAATATAATACAGGAATTAAGGAGTGTGCCTTGCAATGACGATTCCAGTTCAGTTCTTGGCACCATGTATGTTTGGTCCCCTAAGCACATCCAGGAGTATAAGCCATGAACACAGCCGGGTATGGTCCATAAAACAAAAACTCTCTTATACTGAGCTAATAGTTCGATTGTTTTCAAATGAGACCATGGCAGAGAGTGGTGTAAAGGAGTAGTGTCAGGTTGTGTCTGTTTGTCCGTTTCCCTTAGACTCATTTTAACGATTTATTTTTTCATAAACTTGGCACTTGCATTGTCTGACATATTATTTGCACCATTAAAGTATCTTTCATGACTTAAGTTTTTGGGATTTTTTTTTCCCTGTCTTCCTTTGCCATTATCTAGGAATAAGATGGTAGAATACTTGACAGACTGGGTTATGGGAACATCAAACCAAGCAGCAGACGATGATGTAAAATGTCTTACCAGGTAATGAATAAGAAAATTAGCAGGTTTGGGGATGGCTTAGTGTTAAGAGCACTTGCCTCTGTGGGTCTCTGGGTTTGATCCCTAGCACTGAAAAAATTTTAAAAAGGAATTAGGTATTACTGAAAGCTTTAGTATTTAACTTCATTGAAGCTCTTATATGTATTTATATGTACCTTTAATATGTATTTAATATGCGTACTATATACATTTTTTAATTTATTTTTTATGTTTTTGCTTTTTGGGTCACATCTGGTGATGCTCAGGGGTTACTCCTGGCTCATGCACTCAGGAATTACTCCTGGAGGTGCTCGGAGGACCATAGGGGATGGTGGGAATCGAACCTGGGTCGGCCGCGTGCAAGACAAACGCCTTACCTGCTGTGCTATGGCTCCAGCCCCGCAGCTACTGAGAGTATCTCCCCCTCATGGCAGAGCCTGGCAAGCTACCCATGACATATTCAATATGCCAAACACAGTAACAACAAGTGTCACAATGGAGACATTACTGGGCCTGCTCGAGCAAATTGATGAACAACAGGACAGTTCTACCTTTCATATGCACTTAAAGATTTTTATATCAAGATTTTTTTTTCCCCAAAGATAGCAATTTACTGTTTTCTTTTGCTATTTTTGGGCCACATGCTCAGGGTCTACTCCCAGATCGGTGCTTGGGATTGCTCCTGGCTGTGATTGTGGCCCATGCAGTGCCAGAGATCTAATTGGGGCATGCAAAGCATGTACTGCAGCCCCATGGGCTATCTCTGTGACTATCTCTTTTGAATGAAAATATTCAGTTAAAACAGTGTGATATATTTGGAAAATTAGTGTTGATTTAGGAAGGATGGTCTATAGTATTTGAAAATAAGATCTGTAAAATCTTTTGTGTGAACCAAAGCTGTTCAAGGAAATTAATTGACTTGAAACTTTCTTAAAATTACTTAGGTTTGTTCTAATGGTAAATATTTCCACATATGAATATATGCACTAAACATGAATCACATATTAATCACTCACATCTATTTCTTTACCAGACCTAAATTATAATACGGTGGTTTTAAGCCCCTAGTCTGCAGACCTGCAACAATTTTCTGTATACAAAGGACTTAAAACTACTGAACTACTGGTCAACTACAGTGGTTATTAACCGCCTGTCTCTAGTCCCACCCGTGGTTCAGTGCTGGTCCACAGGTGTAACATAATCAGAGTTATTAGTCATTTTGCCAAGATTACTTTGTAGAAAGTTAATTGCCTTGTCAGCTTGGTATTTTTGATTTTGATACTCTGAGAAGTACAATATTAACTATTAATTTAGGTTGTCCTAATAATTCAATGAAATAGTTCCTAAAGTTTGTGTTCTTTAGAAAGAAGGTACTGAAAGGAGGTTGGTGTAGAAGAACCTGAAAAACTTAACTGTCTGTAAATTTTTTTCTTCAGAGACTTGGACCAGGCAAGCATGGAGGCTGTAGTTTCGCTCCTCGCTGGTCTCCCACTACAGCCTGAGGAAGGAGATGGTGTGGAATTGATGGAAGCCAAATCACAGTTATTTCTTAAGTAAATTTCAGCCACGAAAACAAAGTCCCTCACACAACTAAACAAAGCGTAGCTGAAGTTGCAAATAATTGAATATAATTGCTTTAATACTACAGCTGCTGTCCCATACCGTATACCACATGTGTGAAGAAATTCCCCCCATTACAGTACTGAAATAGGAAGACAAGAGAATTTTGTAGCTGCTAAAATTTTCTCTCTCCTTTCATTTTGTTGCGGTTGTTGCAGTGACTGGTTGGGCACCGGTCACACATACTTGGTTATGGTGCTCATACATTGGGTGGTGGTGCTCAGACATGTGGCCTCAGTGCTTTTTGGGGGGGGGGGGGGGGGTCACACTGTAGCTGTGGTGCTCACTGGTTCTAGCACTTTTTGAGGGCGTGGGGGTGCAGGGACCGCACCCTCTGTTGTGGTACTGGAGTCTCCAGGTAAGAGAACCCTCAGAACTGTGCTTGGCACCTGTGGGTAAGTGCTGGGGAAGGAGTTCATGGCTTCACATTGCCTGACAGTCAGTTTTTGTTCCCGGACTGTCTTTATGGGGCGTTGTAGTGTGGTTTCCAGTTATTTTATTTTTTAAAGGATCAGAGAAGGAATCCTTGCTTCTTTTAATTAACTATATTTTTCTATTATAAGTGCAACTAAGCAGCAATCAGGAGAATAATTTTCCAGCACCCTTTGTAAGCTCAGTTTTTTTATTCTTTGTGGAAAATAGGCTCTTACTAAGTACAAATTGTATGCATTGTTTTTTTTTCTCCTACCTGCTCATTCAGTCTGGGTTGCCACAGTCAGACTCACAGAAAGCTCAGGGACATCTGCTTTTGCATGTGCTGTAGAAGTCTTGGCAGTCGAGAAGCAGGTGCTGCAGGTCTTTCAAACAGATGCACATTTTTGTAGTATTTTGCTTTGGGGCAGTGCTGGGACAATTATTCAAGGCTTCACACATACAAGGCAAGTGCTGTGCTACTGAGCTATGTCCCCTGCCCCTATTGTATAGTTTTTAATGAAAATAATATAATTTGTGAATTTTGTGGGCTGGAGCGATAGCACAGTGGTAGGGCATTTGCCTTGAGCGCAGCCAGCCTGGCCGAGCCAGGTTCAATTCCTCCCGCGCGTGGAGAGCCCGGCAAGCTACTGAGAGTATCTCACCCGCACAGCAAAGCCTGGCAAGCTACCCATGACGTATTCAATATGCCAAAAACAGTAACAAGTCTCAAAAGATGGAGACGTTACTGGACCTGCTCGAGCAAATCGATGAACAATGGGAGAACAGTGTTTGACAGTGAATTTTGTGTGTATGGTTTGGGGGTCACACCTCATGGTCCTTGAGCTATTCCTGATTCTGTGCTTAGGAGTCACTTCTAGCAGTGCTCAGAGGCACCATATGTGGTGCTGGGGATCTAACTTGAGGTTAGCAACACGCAGGGAAAATGTCTCAGTTTCTGTACTGTTTCCTGGCTGATCTGTGAATTTTTTGTTGGTGTTAAAACCCAGATTGCCTCTTCAGTTCATTTGAATTGGCTTTGACCAGACTACTTGAACCACTAATTTGCATGCTAAACATGGAAAATGATGCTTTTATCAGAAAACCTTGCATCTCTTTGGTGCTTATGTTATGACACTTGGGATGAAATCACATTCAACACTTCATAGTGAGCCGTGTTGACTAATTACGACCCCCACCCCTAAGGGACAGAAATACATTCCCACAACCACTTACATGATGCACTTGTGGTGATTTCAGAATGTCTGATTCACTATGTGGTTGATACAGCCTTTCCTGTGTAAGGATCAATGTTTTTATTTCTCAGGTATTTCACATTGTTTATGAACCTTTTGAATGACTGTAGTGAAGTCGAAGATGAAAATGTACAAACAGGTGGCAGGAAACGTGGTATGTCTCGTCGGCTGGCATCACTGAGGCACTGTACAGTCCTTGCAATGTCAAACTTACTCAATGCTAATGTGGACAGTGGCCTCATGCATTCGATAGGTGAGATAAAATAAAAGCTTTGTACAGCAATATAAAAACATGGGAACTGGCATGTTAGACAAATAAAATTACTTCAAGAAGGCCATACTAGTAAATTTGCATCTGTGTGTCCATATCAGGTTTAGGTTATCACAAAGATCTCCAGACAAGAGCTACATTTATGGAAGTTCTGACAAAAATCCTCCAGCAAGGCACAGAATTTGACACACTTGCAGAAACGGTGTTGGCAGATCGGTTTGAGAGACTGGTGGAACTGGTCACGATGATGGGTGATCAGGGAGAACTTCCTATAGCTATGGCTCTGGCCAATGTGGTCCCTTGTTCTCAGTGGGTAAGTGAATGGAATAAGTGGGAAAGAAGAGTACTGCCACATTGCAGATGCTTCAAAGTACATTGGTTCAATAAATGTTTGTTGAATGAATTACTCAAACTTTAGAGCCAGAAGAAACTTGAAGTTTTTTGAGTGGTTTTCAGTTATGGCAATGTAGCTTGGAGCTAGCCTTCACTGGTATTCTAGTTCATCCCATCCTGCTGAAAAACTCCACGTAAGCACTGATCAAAAGAATACTAAAAACCAGCTGGGGTGTAGCTCAGCAGTAGAGCACTTGCTTTGCATGTGTGAGGCTTTAGGTTTGATCCCTGGCAGTGCGCCCAATACCTCCCCTCCACTCTGCCTCCACTTTAAACCATTGGTGCCTTTATATATTAAATAAGGTGATTAGAATTGTTGAGACTGCATTGTGTGATTATTTTAAAAGGTAATTATGGTAAATGCTCACATTCAGTTTTGTAATGCTGAAATAGAACTCACGACTTATAAACTGGACGTTTATAAATATTTGCGAATATTCTTTCAGTGTACAGTTTTTGTAAATTTTTTTTTTGGGAGAGGTGGTTTTAGACCACATACTGATGATCAGGGGTTACTCCTGACTTGGTGTTCAGGGGAGCCATATGTGGTGCCAGGGATTAAACTGAAGTTGGCCCCACGGAAGGCAAGTCTGTTACCTCCTGTACTCTCTGGTCCTGTATGATTTTAAAAAAATAGCATATTTTGCATTTGAAATTATGTTTGTTATAAACACTATAGGCTATTTGGTCTCAATGAAAGATTTTCTAAAACCATACCTTCCATATATTATACTAAAAATTTGAGAGGATTATCCCTTGGAAAGCTATTTAATTGATATTATACCCAAAATGATTTTTAGTATAGTGATAAGGTAATCTTTTACTGCCTGTAGATTTGTTTTTATTTATATGCTATACTATCTTATTCCTTATACTCAAACTAAAACCTAGACTAAGTACTAATTTGGGCCCAGTCTCATGTCTGACAGTATGTTAAGATATTTGCCATCTTGTCCACCTGCCTTAAATGTCATGAGCCACCAAACAGGCTGGTTTATTCTTGCCTCAGACACCTTGGTGCTGCAGTCAGTGGGTGCCGCCACCCCCTGAAATGCTTCTTTCCTGATCTCATAAAATGCTGATTTATTATTTGTTTCAGTTTAGATATCACTTGTTTTTTTAGTTTTATTTATTTTGTTTTGGGGCCACACCTGGTGATTCTCAGGGGTCACTCCTGCCTCTGCACCCAGAGATCACTCTTACAATGTTCAAGGGATCATATGGGTTGCCAGGGATTAAATCCAGATCAGCTACATGCAAGGCAAGCATCTTATCTCCTGTTCTTTGTCTGTCAGCCATGCTTTTTATTTTTTTAAATAAGTTTTTATTTTAACTTTGGGAGGGACCTGTGTACTCATTGAGCCATTTGTGGTGCCAGGGATTCAAATTAGGATTGACTGTATGCAAAGCAAGCACCTTCACCCCTGTACTATCTTTCTAACCCTTTATTTTTTTTGAGTAAATTTTTACTGAAGTAACATTGGTTTAAAATTTTTAAGTATTGTAAATATTTCAGGTATGCAACAGAAATTTGTATAATTAAAACGGGTTTTCCTATTATTATATATAAAAACCAGTTTTATTCTACCACTATATAATTACCCTCTATCCTTTTCCGTCTGATAACCACCAGTCTATTCTCTGTACCTAAGGGGAATGGGGGGAAGGCAGGGGGCGTTATTTATTTTGTTTCTTTATATTTTATATTTCCCATGTGTGAAGTCATACAATATTTGTCTTCTTTAGAACTTTTTTCATTTAGTGTAATACCCACACTGTCCATTCAGGTGTTGCAAATGGCAGGATTTCACTTTTTTGCCTAGGGAATAGTATTCCATTGTGTACATACATACCATGTATTTATCCTTTTAGTAGCATGTGTATATGTAACTTCCTTATCCTTGCATTTGTTAATAGATATTTTCTTATCCTGATTATTGTAAATTATTCTGTAATAAATATTGAGGTATATTGATCTTATTGGATTGTATTTAATATTCTTTGCTAAATATCCAGATCTAATATCTAGGTCACTTGGCATCACTGTTCTTAAATCTTTGAGATTTAAGAAGTCAGATCCATACTGTTTTCCATAGAGGTTGCATTAATTTACGTTCCTTTCAACAATGTAGAAAGTTTTCTTTCCCCACATTCTTGTCAATACATTTTGGTTATTTTCTTTTTTGTTTGTTTTGGGTTTTGTGCCACACCTAGCAGTACTCACTTCTGGTTCTAAACTCAGGGACCACTTTTGGAGGGCTCTTGGAGGGCTAGGGGCACTTAGGGATCAAACTCGGATTGGCTGCATGGGAGGCAAGTGACCTCCCTGCTATATTATTGTTCCGACCCGTTGTCTTTTTGCCAATAACTATTCTTGCAAGTGTGCTATATCACATTATGGTTTTGATTAGAATTTCCGTATTAATAATCAATGAGAATATCTTTTCATGGGCCTTTTGTCTTTGGTTAAATGTTTTTTGAGGTCCTCTCCATGTTTTTAAATGAGTTTTCAATTCTGTTTCATTGACTTTAATGTTGTTTTATCCTCTCCATATCTGGTTGAATTGTATACTCTAAAATGTTAGTCTAGATTTATCCCATAGCATGTCACTGACCAGTATTCCCACTGTATATTGAAGAAATGTTCCTTCATTGTGTATTCCTGATTGCTTTGTATAAATTGGTTGTCCATATATCATTTTTTTCTGGTTTTCAATTGTGTTCCATTGACCTTAGTGTTGTTTTATCCTATTACAGTACTGTTTTGATTACTAAAGGCTTGCAGTATAGTTTGAATCCAGGGAAATGTGATACTTCCATTTTTGTTCCTTTTTTCTCAAGATTACTTTCTAGTTAAAAAAAATTTTTTTTTTTGGTTGGGGTTGCAGTTTCCTCCCAAGCAATATCTAAGATACCCTGGAGCCACTGTGTATACCTGGTGGTGCGGTGCTGCTTGGATCCAGAGGTATTGAGGTGGGGATTGGGGGCAGGATGGGTATGGTGTGCAGTACCAGGGATCAAATTTATGGCCTCCAGCCCATCAAGCTGTCTGAGCTCCATGAGAGAGTCTTTTATGGTTTTATAGTAATATTTGCAGTGGATAGTTTTTGGTTATATTTCTGTGGAAAATTTTACTGTAATTTTGCATTATATTCCTGTATATTGTTTTAGGAACATAGTCATTTTGTTCAGGAGTGATGACTTCAAAGAGCCGGTTTGATCTCCAGCACAGCACTATACCTCCAGGCATCTGGGAGCAATCCCTGAACAACAAACTGGAGTAATCCCTGAGCACTGCTAGTTGTAGCCCCCGACAACAAAGCAATAAAAGCTCATTTTAACAATGTTAATTCTTCTAGTCCTGAAGTATGGAAATCTCTTCATTTTTTCATCATATATATGTATTTTTAAGATAGAGTTGTACTACGATAAAAATTCCTTATTAGTATTTTTGCTTCATCCCTTAGGTCCTAATAAATTGTATTTTGGTCTAAGTATACTTTATTTCTTCTTTGACTATATGTTTAGTAGTATAATGTTTAATTTTTACATATTTGTGTTATTTCCAACTTTCTTCTGTGATTTATTTCTAGTTTTTGTTTGTTTGTTTGTTTGCTTTTTTGGGTCACACCCAGCAGTGCACAGGGGTTACTTCTGGTTCATGCACTCAGGTGTTACTCCTGGCGGTACTCGAGGGACCAAATGGGATGCTGGGAATCGAACCCGGGTTGGCCACATGCAAGACAAACACCCTACCCACTGTGCTATCACTCCAGCTCCTATTTCTAGTTTTATTTGTAGTGATTTATTTCTCAGTTTTAATGAGAAAAGATGCTTGAATTGTTTTTGTAAATTTATTGAGACTCATTTTTTATGCCAGCATATGGCCTATCCTTGAGGACATGTGTACTTGTGAAAATGTTCTGTTGCCTTTGGGTGATATATTCTTTACGTATTTTGTCCACTTAGCCAAATATGTCATTGAAGGTCATGTTTTCATATTGACTTTTTGTCTGAATAATCTATCCACTGATGTAACTGGGATATTAAAGTTCCCTGCTTTAATTTATTACTGTCAGTTTCTCCTTCTAGGTCTCTATTTGCTTTATTTTTGTGTCCTTGTATTGGGTACATACATATCAGTAACTATAATGTTTTCTTGATGGATTAATGCCTTTATCATTATTTAATCTGTCTCATTTTTGTCGCTAGGTTTTATCTGTTTTAAGTTTAGCTGATTTTGTCGTCTTTTGTTTCTGTTAACTTGAACCTCAGACCTCTTTACTTTGAACCTACATTTTTCCTTAGAATTGAAAAAGGTTTCCTGAAGGTAGCTCAAGATTGAGTGTATCTTACTTTTTCATTTTATCTGGGGCATTAGTTTGAGCCACACCTGGCAGGAGTTCTTTCTTGGCTCCATTCTGGGAGGTTGCTCCTGGCAGTGTTCACGGGACCAAGTAGCACCAGAGACTGAACCCACGAGTCTTGCATACTAAGCACATGCACCAGCATGTTGCGAGCTCTCTCTTTAAGATAAAGGGCCAAAGCTCTCTCTGACCCTTTATCGTAAATTTTTGGGGTTTTTTTTTTTTTGGGCACATTGAGGCTGTTGCTGTCATTTTTCTTCATTAAAATCCTCATTCAGGTGTGAGCATCTAGTGACACATCCCAGTATCTGTTTATATTTAGAAAGGTTGACATACGAGGTCTTGCTGCTACCATTTTATCTTCTATTTGCCTTGTTTCTTTTTCAGGCCACACCCAGAGGCACTGGAGGGCTACACCTCCCTTGGTGTTTCGCAGGTGCTTGGGGGAATCCAGGCTTCCAGCATGCACTGTAGCCCCTTGAGTGATCTCCCTGGCCCTACAGTTGGTTTTATTATTTTTCAATTCAAAAATTTATTATAGTTACATAAAGACAATTTACAATAGTGCTGACATCTATGTTTTGGCATACATAACTTTACCTCACCTATAAAGGTAAAGGTAAAGGCCCTCCCGTTGATCGTCGATTTGCTCGAGCGGGCCCAGTAACGTCTCCATTGGAGACTTTGTTGTTACTGTGTCTGGCATATCGAATACTCTCGGTAGCTTGCCGGGCTCTCCGAGAGGGGCGGAGGAATCGAACTCGGGTCGGCCATGTTGGCCGCATGTAAGGCGAACGCCCTACCCGCTGTGCTATCGCTCCAGCCCGTTACCTCACCTATAGTTGTTTTAATGTTTCTTCCCCTTTAGTCTCTATTATGAAATAGTTGCTGTTTTTTATTTTGTCTTATTATCACATTGCTCAAAGTTCTGTGTACATTTGTCTTTTTACTCTGACATTCCCTTCAACATTTCATATAAGGCAGTTCTAATGATAATAAACTGCTTTAGCTTTTGTTAATCTGGGAAAGTCTATTTTTCCTTCACATCTGAAGGATTACTTTGCTGGATAAAATATTCTCTTTTTTATTTTTTCCTTCAGTATTTGGGCCATACCCAGCAGTACTCAGGGCTTATTCCTGACTCTATGCTCAGGGATCACTCCTGGTGATGCACAGGGGCCCATTACGGGGTGCTGGGGATCAAACTTGAGTGGACCACAGGCAGGGCAAGTGTCTTAACCAACTGCACTATGAATAGGGACTTTCCGGTCCCTCAGCTACCTTTTTTATATCATTTGCTGAGTTATTAAGCTCCAGCTTATTAATTCTTCTTTTATAGTTAATATCTCTGCAACAAAAAGGTATTTATTTTATTCCTGAGCTCATTGAATTGTCTGCGTTTTCTTGCATTTTGTTGCAGTTTCCTTAAGACAGCTGTTTGAAATTTTCTCTCATTAGAATATCATTCTCACTTCCTTTCCTTTCCTTTCTTTTCCCTTTTCCTTTTCCTTTTCTTTTCCCTTTCCCTTTACTTTTCATGTTTTTTTTTTCTCTCTTGTACCATATCTTGTGATGACCAGGGCTGCTTACTCATGACTCTGCATTTGGGAATTACTCCTGGAGGGGCTGGCTGATCCTGTGGGGTGCCAGGGATAGAACCTGAGTTGGCCATGTGCAAGACAAGCACACTACCTGCTGTACTATATTTACAGCCTTATATTACATTTTTCTTATTGTGATACTTATGATTTTGATTCTTCATTGTGTTGTGCCTCTACTAATATATGTGATGTAGACACATCTTATTTAGACACAGGTGTTTGTATTGCTTTGCTTTGATTCTATTTAACAGCCTGATCATTGGAGATCTTTCCTGTTTTACAGTAGGTGGTAATAAAACAGAGGTTTTAAGTGCCTTTTACCCAAATTGCTTATGGTTATATATGGTAGCCTGCACTTTCTACTCTCTTATTCTTTAGCAGTTAATCCTTAGAATTAACAGTTACTGTAGAAATATAGAAAGTCATCTATCAAAGATAAATGTATACAGACAAATCCCAAAGGAAAAATTAATTTTATTACCATTTACCCCAGGACAGCAGGTGATTGTCAACTTTGGATTTGCCTTTCATTTTCCTGCTTAATTAAAAAAAAATGTAAAGGGGCATTATTCACGTTAACACAGTTTTGTTTTGTTCTCAGGATGAACTAGCTCGAGTTTTAGTGACTCTATTTGATTCTCGACATTTACTCTACCAATTGCTCTGGAACATGTTTTCTAAAGAAGTAGAATTGGCAGACTCCATGCAGACTCTTTTCCGTGGCAACAGTTTAGCCAGTAAAATAATGACCTTCTGTTTCAAGGTTTGTAGCCATTCTTTGTTTTTTTTTCTTTCAAGTTTGAAGGTAGGCCACATGATGATTATGTACAGAATGTAGAGAACAAAGTGTCTTTTTAAATGCAGGCATATGAAGCTGGCATAATAAATTCTTATTTTGCATTTCTTTAGGTATATGGTGCTACCTACCTACAAAAACTTCTAGATCCTTTATTACGAGTTGTGATCACCTCCTCTGACTGGCAGCATGTTAGCTTTGAAGTGGATCCTACAAGGTTTGTCATCCTCTAATCTCCATTTGCTGTTTTCCCTTTACAGCAACATAGGCAAGACACTCATAGTTCATCATGATCTTGAAAATTATTCTTAAATTATGGCAGTTACACACCTATACATTTTTATTTTTAAAAAATTACTGATATCATTGCATACCAACTCCAGAGACATAGCAGTATTGCTTATTTAGTCCGTTCTCTCACTTTTTCAGTGCTTTTGTGTTCACTGCTTTAGTTGTAGAAATAACAAGTTTTAATGTGAATGCTTAATATAAATGGTAAGATACTGTAAATAATGGCTTACAACTGAAATTATAAAGACTGGGGCTAGAGTGGTAGTTCAACAGGTGGGCCTTGCCTTTTACCTTTTTACCCGGGTTTGATCCCCAGCATCCCATTTGGCCCCCTGAACCCTGGCAGGAGTGATCCCTGAGCACCTCTGGATGTTACCCAAGAAATAAAATGTAACCTTGTGTCTTAGAACTTTTTAATCCCATTCTTTCCATTACTATATAATAGCGCATAGTTTGACAATATTATTATATAACCAATACCATGCTGATCCCATTGACTTTTGTAGCGTCTTCCTATTTATTGTCTGGGCACAGTGTTGTTTTTCATTTTCAAGTTATTTGCTGTAATGAAATATAAACCTTAATATCACTTTCTTAGAAACCAATTATTCCCAAATTGACTGCAAGATAGAACTGTCTAATTATAATTTGCCATCACTTCTTTATCTTTATTTCATGTGTTCTTTGTAATTTTAGTACACTTGTTTTTCCAAGTGTTTTGACACAGGAATGTATATTGTGGTTGAAAGCAACTAGTCCCCCTTCCAATAGGGTGGCAGAAGAAGAAATAGGGAGGAAATACTAAGGAATCAGATAAAAATGATCGGGGAAGCTGTCTTTAGATTCTGTGTCTTGCTAATCTTGAATTAGACTGATCTATCTCATTCTTTGCATAGCTAGAAAACTACAGCCCTCTATCACAGAGACTGTCAAACTTTTTACTACTCAAATAGAGAGCAGAACAGAATAGACCCTTTTTGCAGATATATGTAGAATAAAGAGATTGGTGCTGAGGTTCTCCTGCTTGACATTTAAAAAAATTGTTTATGTTTTTTGTCTTACTGCTCCACCTGTAATGGGTTACTTTGGAGAAAGGGAAGAGGCCAGCGGGTAATAAGGCAAGGTGCAGTTTAAAAAGCAGGGATGTGTGTCAACGCCGGGCACTATATGGCCTTCTGAGCATTACCAGGATTATCCCCTCATTCAGCCCTCTCCTCCCCACCATAAAAAACAAAAAAAAAATTTGAACCATACCTGTCAGTGCTCAAGGCACCACATGTAGTATCAGGGATCTAAGTAGGGTTGCAGGGAAAGCATCTTACCTCCTCTACTATCTCTCCATTTACAAAGAAATCTTTATTCTGTGTTCTTTGACTCTTAATTTTGACTATTCTGTTAGCTTTCACATTTTGTTCATTTTTCTATCTTTTCTGTTTAGCATGGTTTCATGCTTAGAGTTGATATTTCCTAAATACTGTATGAATGAACTTTAAACAGGTATATTCTGCTTGCTTTTCTTAAGTCATATTTCTTACCTTTCTCTTAGAACCTGAATGGTAATTCCTTTTTTTATTTTCAAGTTCAGAACTTTATCTTCCTAAATCATTGTTTATTTAACAGCTAGGTTCTGGTTGATATTTTTGACGCTGTGCTTGCTGAAGTATCAACTATAATATTTAAAGCCCAAGCTAAATTGGCTAATTTTGGTGAAAATAGCACTGTAGCACTGTCCTCCCATTGTTCATTGATTTGCTTGAGCGGACCCCAGTAACGTCTCCATTGTGAGACTTGTTGTTACTGTTTTTGGCATATAGAATACGTCATGGGGAGCTTGCCAGGCTTTGCTGTGCAGACGCGATACTCTCGGTAGCTTGCCAGGTCCTCCAAGAGGGGCAGAGGAATCGAACCCGGGTCAGCTCCGGTCAGCCTCGTGCAAGGCAAACGCCCTACCCGCTGTGCTATCGCTGCAGCCCTTGGTGAAAATAATATAATTAGCAACTTAACATTCTTTTAACATCATCTTGTACTTGTTAATATTAAGCAATTTCATTTTCAAAAGGTTAGATAATTTAGTGGTAAAATGAACTGATTGCCTAAAAGAAATCTGCTATATTAAGGTCAGTTACATTACAGGTGAATTATGTGAAATGGGGAGCAGAGAGATAATAGCTTCAAGAAGAGAGTCTAGTGCCTTCCCCTTTATCCACCTTAGCCATCTGGGGAAGTCCTCAGGAGGGTCACAGCTGAGCACCTACTTAGCAGGACCACTTGCATTCTACCAGCTTCACTTCAATCATCAGACTGTGTCTAAGTCCCACTTGATGCACACAGCATTTAATCACTGTCCCCTGTTTCTTGGAATGAAAGAAAAATCAGCCCTAACCCCCACCCATTTTCTTTTCGGGTCTGTCACCTTCCTTGCAAAAAAAAAAAGTATTTCAGGAGGAAATGAATAGTAAATAAAACAGTTTTATTTAGAGGTTCTGAGGAAGGAGAGAAGGAGAGAAACAAAGTCTAGAGAATGTGGACTTCCTCAGATGGGAAGAGTTGAGGGTGTCTTATAACTTAAAAAAAGAATTAGAGATCCCAAGCTGACATGTGTAGCACTCTGCTTGCCTTTGCAAAGTTGGTTTTATATGTTCCCCCCTCCCCCCACCCCCGCAAATTGCCCCCAGTTGGGCTTTCTGTGTAGTTAATTCTGTTGTAAGGAAGTGGTCATGGTGAAAAGTTTTGAACTTTTGGTGGATTCACCTTCTTATTTTTTTTTTTTGTTTTTGGACCACATCTGCAGTTGCTCAGGGTTTGCTCCAGGCACTGAGCTCAAGGATTTTTTCCTGTGGTGCCACCATCTAATTGGTCAGCCTTGAACAAAGCAAGGACCTTACCTGCTGTACTGTCTTGTGGGCCCTTGCCTTTCTGTTCTTACCATAGCCTTTTGTTCCTGGCAGAGCTTCTCTCTGGAGGAGTCCAGCCTTTTCTGAAGCACCAGAGAACTCTTAACAGCCTCAGTTCCTGTGTCCACAAAGTAGGTTTTTGAGTTCCTTTAGAGCTAGTGACAGAGTAATTTCTTTGAAACACCTTTGGTTTTATTATTTCCTGAGAAGCCCTTACCAGCATGTCTGACCACCCCCATAGTCTGCAGGCCTGCTTCCCTGTGATGTAGAATAGAGCCAAGCTTTCCTTCTTAAAATCAAACCAAAGGCTGTGCTACCATTTTAAAAAGCTTGGAAGTCAATAGTCCATGTTTACAACAACAAAAAGCTGAAAGCAAAATTCATAACTTTTTTTTTTCCAGATGAATCAGATGTTGAGGTCACCAGGCAAATAACCACAGCTGTTGAGGGACTGAGAAAGAGCTTAGGGGTTAAGGTGTTTGCCTTGCTCACAGTTGACCTGGGTTGGATCCCCAAGCACAGCAAAGGGGCCCCCAGTAGTGATCTCAGAGCACAGAGCCAGGAGTGAGCCCTGAGAACAGTCCCAAAGCAACAACAAAAATAATGAAAATTGGAGAGATGGACACATCCACAGAATTTCAGCTTACTAGTAAAACTTAAATTGGAGCCAGTTTTTGTTAGCAACATTTAGACACTTGACAAACTGACTACATGCTGACTATGGGATAGTTTTATAATTAAAATACCTCAAGTCCTAGTCTTTAGAAATTCACTTTTGTGAAGTCTCACAAGATTCACATGGTGAAGATGGTAGAAAAATACTTTCGTATTCTGAACAGAGAAATGGGGAAAGCATTTTGAAAAATGCATGTAGTGTTCTGTTTTTCCTTATAAAGAAAATAACTTCAGGAAATAACTTCTCTCAGAGCCTTATCACACCTGGAGGATGGGCAGTTAGGCAAATCCCTTAAGTCTTCTTTTCTCATTTGCTTTAAAAGGTCACAGTAAGAGTAAACCACTATGACTAAAAGGAAAAAAGAAAAAGAAAACAGTACCTGTCTTAGAGGCAGGCTCCAGTGGGGCTGGCTTGAGAGAAACTGGGTCCACTGGTGGAGGGAAGTGGATACTGGTGAAGGGATTGTTTTGGAACATTGTGCATCTGAAACAGAATAATGAATAACTTTGTAACTGTAATTTATGGTGATTCAATTGGGGGGGAAAAAGGGTCATTGCCTAGGAACTCTGGACCAATAAAACAGGAGTTGGAGTCATAATACATGACCCTTTACCACTGTCCTTATGTTACTGATCCAACCTTATCCACCCCACCTTCCCCCACTGCTTATTAATCATTTTTTAAATCCAAAGCCAAGGATTTAATCATTATTCAAATTCATTCTCTATTTCTTCCCCCCTTTTTATATTTCATAGTTGACTGAGATCATATGGTATTTTCCCACTGACTTATTTTGGGTATCATGATACCCTTCTAGCTACATTGCATGATTTCACCAGCCCCCTGAGGTGATTGTTTTACTGCATCTGGGTTTCACTTGTTCTGCCTGGCGTGGGCAATGATCCCTGCCACCCAGTTTCTCCAGGAGCTACGGAACCCAGTCTGGAGCAAGGAATTGCTCTTTGCAGGAAAAGGAAGTCCTAAATTCTTACCAAGACTTTTCAGTCCTGTCACCTTCCCTTACAGAAAAGAATTCCAGAAGGAGACAAATAGTGAAATAAAAACTGTTTTATTTTGAGAGCAGGAAGAAGGAAAAATACCAACACATTCTAGAAAGAACACAGGCTTCTTCAGAGAGGGGAGCCAAGCGTGCACATCTCAGTTGGAAATGTGGGCCATCCCTCCCCATGCCCCACCATGGAGAAGTGCCTAATTACCTTTATGGAGTTGGTTTTACACATTTTCTTCCAAACTTCCCCTATGTGGTGCTTTCTACCTAGTCCGTTGCCTTGAGGGTAAGAGCATGAAACTGTTGGTCAATCATGTTCTTATTACAACCCTTTGTTTTTGCTGGAG